GGGAGAAGCTACTGCAGCCCGGGCACTAGAGCCAGGAGCTCCGCGGCATGCATCCCACAGAGCCCACAGAGCCCACAGAGCCCTCAGAGCCCTCAGAGCCCACAGAGCCCACAGAGCCCACAGAGCCCACAGAGCCCTCAGAGCCCACAGAGCCCACAGAGCCCACAGAGCCCACAGAGCCCTCAGAGCCCACAGAGCCCTCAGAGCCCACAGAGCCCTCAGAGCCCACAGAGCCCACAGAGCCCTCAGAGCCCACAGAGCCCACAGAGCCCACAGAGCCCACAGAGCCCTCAGAGCCCACAGAGCCCACAGAGCCCACAGAGCCCACAGAGCCCTCAGACTCTCTCCATAAGCGCAGATGAAGCCTGGCCTTAGCACTGACCACTCACATCAGCCCTGTGTTTGTAGCAGCAGCTGTCTCTCCACTCCGCACACAGCCCACGATAATTCACTTTAAATTATAATATAAATATAATAATAGCTAGCTTCGTCCGTGGAGAGGCTCGCCGCAGCCCTGACACGGATTCCCGAGTTCAATGCTTCACTGTTATGAGTAGAATCTGGGAGGAAATGCACGTGAGCTGAGTTAGCTTCGATGCTAACCAGCTGTGGTGTTTTCACTGACCCAGATACGGCTGCAGTGACCTACATATGTGCAAAAACAGCGCAAAAGGCCGCAGTCCGTGTTAGTTTAGCCCCACACCGGTGCATAAGCCGCAGGGCAGCTGTGACTCTGTGTGGCACGCGTCAGAACGGTGTAATATCAGCATAGATCCTTCTTTAACGGACTGCTTCTGAGCGGATTAGCCTGTTAGCTTCTGTTAGCTTCTGTTAGCTTCTGTTAGCTTCTGTTAGCTCCTGTTAGCTTCTGTTAGCTCCTGTTAGCTTCACTCGGTTTCTTCTCGTTTCCCGTTAAAATGACCCCTAATCCCGGAGTTTTCCGCTTGCTTCTCCGCGGTCCCGGTTCGGTCGGTCCCCCAGCCGCCTCCCGGTGCTGGATGCCTGTGCGGTCCGGCTATGAGAGGCTTTTCCTGGGCCGCTTTCTGGCAGAGGGACCCGGGGTTAGCGGAGCGGTGGGGGAGGGTTAACGGCAGTAAACAATGATGCGTCCGGAACATACGTGTGTCAGACTGCACAACGAACACCTACCAATATTATTTAAATTTACGTGTTTAAATTTAGTGACAAGCAACAAAACAAGTTTTTCTTTCAGACTACCTCAATAACTTCTTACCCACCTGTCACTGTATAACGTGTTCGTTGTACAGGCTGACAGACGCACATTTTGAACATGTAAAAATAAATTTAATAGGAATAGTCCATTGTCATTAAAATGTGTTTAATGTGTGGTTCTCCGCTTTCTAAATTTTTCCCCTGGGGGTTTGTTGCCGATGTTGGAAGGTCTAATGCAGGGGTCTCCAACCTGTGGCTCAGGAGCTACCAGTAGCTCCCCAAAGGATATAGAATTGAATGACCTTGAATTTTGAGTCATTGCATATCTATTGTAAGTATAAATTGTTAGTTTTATAGAATATTTTACATGCGTTTTCCATCTTTTGTTGTTACATAGATTTTTATCACGACTGCAAAACGGATTTCGAGATTCAAGATTCAGGAGTTGCTCTCTGGCTTTTGTATTGTATAAAAGTAGCTCTCCGATTGCAAAAGGTTGGAGTCACATGGTCTAATAACAGCAATGGTCATCCACATTTATTAACATTTCTGGACAGTGATCGTCTTTATTTGTGTGTCGTATTTTGTAATGTCTAAGCACTTTGTGACAGTCCAGTCTGTTTTTAAAATGTGCTATATAAATAAACTAGACCTTGACCTCTGCTCCCTGTGAACCAATGGCTCCTATAAGTTTAGTATTATTGCATTTCTGTGTCCGGGACGTTTGATTCTCTGATCTGTTGTTGGGGAATTAACATGTTTGTAACGTCCTCCAAGACGACCCCTGCTGTGATTTAGGGCGACGCACAAATGATACACACTTTCCATTTTTATAATTCAGGTTTGATACTTTGTCCACCACTCAGGAACATTGTCATGTGATATTACTAGTAATAGATTATTACTATTCTCGTTCCCAGTGTCTTTGAGCGCCGTGCTAAACCAATGCTTTATTATTATAATTTATTTGATGTATTCTTTAAGTTCACATTTGTTTTCTCACAGTTGAGATAAAAACAGCTGAAACAGCAGTATATTAAACACCACAGGGTTTTGGACTAAAAAACATCCGAGTGATTCATGTTTCAAACTGTAGTATTGTTACTGAGTTACTGCACTTCCCCGCTCTGCTCCTTGTATCATACTCATGATGATAATAATGTGTTTTATAAAGCTCTTTTAGGACACTCAAAAACACACGTCATTACTCATTCATTCCATACACAATGGTGATAAACTACTACCATAGCCACAGCTGCCCTGGGGCACACTATCAGGAGCAAAGCTCAACCCCTCCTCCCACCACCACCTTTCAAACACACATCAGACTTGTTCTAATGTCAACAGTTTGGTTCTCTACCAGTGTCTCTATCCCATAGACTGTAAATAATAACAGACGTAGTCAGGTCTATCTCCGCTGTTCTAACTAATGGGCCAAAAATTGGGCTTTCATGAAGTGATTCAAAATGGCCGCGGGGGCTGGAAAATGTGAAAAAACACATCTGTGCATGCGTCAGCTGCACGAGCTCCATTCATTTAAACGAGAGACTTCTAAAGTCCACAGCGACTAAACTAGACTGGTCCAGAACACTCAGCATTGACACACATGTGGAACGGAGCTTTGGGCCAAGAGACACTTTTGGACCATCCTGTAAAGACGTTTTCCAGAGGTCTGCTAATGCTATATGTTAGCATTGGCTAATTCTTATTCCACTTTTGAGCCGGGACCCGCCCCCACTCCTCTAGCCCCGTCTCTAGCCCCGTCTCTAGCCCCGTCTCTAGCCCCGTCTCTAGCCCCGTCTCTAGCCTCGTCTCTAGCCCCGTCTCTAGCCCCGTCTCTAGCCCCGTCTCTAGCCCTGTCTCTAGCCCTGTCTCTAGCCCCGTCTCTAGCCCCGTCTCTAGCCCCGTCTCTAGCCCCGTCTCTAGGAAACACTGGGGCAGTACACAGACCAGAGTTTGTAGTTTAATACAGTCATATCGTGTGTGGACACATCTGCACAGACAGAAGTCACCAAAGAAGAACACATGAAGAATACAAATCAGACCAAAGTCAGATGCACATTCAGAGGAGATGAGAAGCAGCTCAGAAGGACAGGGCCTCCACAAGAGTCTGAGGCTCTGAGGAGCCCAAGAGGAGCTATTTAAAAAGACAAAAGAATAGTATAAACAGGAGGTGTGCGTGGAGCCGCCTGCACGTATGTACAACAGTCTGTAGAGTTCTGAAGAGATGAGAGCAAATCTGTGGAGACAGAGAGGAGCAGGTCAGACCTCTGCTGTAAACAGAAGGACAATGCTGAAGCCCAACAGGGAAGTGCTCATAGTGAAGTTTGGCTCCTCTTTCTGGCTACAAAGTAAACTCCTTCAGTTCAGTAACAGTTTGTTACACTCATCATTTTGGGATTGGATATGATCTTTGTGTTTGTAAATCCAGAAATGAGCCATATATGGATAGACCAATCAGATTCATTCGCAGGAGAAACTCTGTCGTTAGCGTGCGCCTCACCTGTTAGCTGTTAGCCGTGGCGATGGGCGAGCAGTCTGTGACCAGCAGCTCCACTGCAGTGGCGTTGATGGTGGACTCTCCCACGGTGATGGCCTGGATCTCCACGCCCTCCTCCTCGTTAGCCCCGCCCCCCTGAGCCTCGGCGTGCGTGCCCATGTGACCCTGAAGCTGCGTCGCCGTCTTGCACTGGACGCCACAGAGCTGACACAGCAGCACGCCGCCTGGCCCCGTCCCCCGGGCCCCCCCACTCTCCCGCCACTCCTGACCATGGTGCTTCTGAGCATGGACGCGCAGGTATGTGAGCGTGGTGAAGCCTGGAGGAGAGAGGAGGAACATGAGGAGAGAGAGGAGGAACATGAGGAGAGAGAGGAGGAACATGAGGAGGAGGAGGAGAGAGGAAGAACATGAGGAGGAGGAGGAGGAGAGAGGAAGAACATGAGGAGAGAGAGGAGGAACATGAGAAGGAGGAGGCGAGAGGAGGAGGAGGGACATGAGGAGAGAGAGGAGGAGGGACATGAGGAGAGAGGAGGGACATGAGTAGGAGGAGGAGAGAGGAGGAGAGAGAAGGAGAGAGGGACATGAGGAGAGGAGGAGGAACATGGGGAGGAGAGGAGAGGAGGAACATGAGGAGGAGAGAGGAGGGACATGAGGAGGACGAGGCGAGAGGAGAGAGGGACATGAGGAGAGGAGGAGGAACATGAGGAGGAGAGAGGAGGGACATGAGGAGGAGAGACAGGAGGAACATGAGGAGAGAGAGGAGGAGGGGGAGGGGAGAGAGGAGAAGGAACATGAGGAGGAGAGAGGAGGAACATGAGAGAGAGGAGAGAGGAGGGACATGAGGAGGAGAGAGGAGAGGAGGAACATGAAGAGAGAGAGGAGAGAGGAGGGACATGAGGAGGAGGAGAGAGGAGGAACATGAAGAGAGAGAGGAGAGAGCAGGGACATGAGGAGGAGAGAGGAGAGAGGAGGGACATGAGGAGGAGGAGAGAGGAGGAACATGAAGAGAGAGAGGAGAGAGGAGGAACATAAGGAGAAAGAGGAGGAGAGAGGAGGGACATGAGGAGGGGAGAGAGGCAGAACATGAGAAGAGAGAGGAGGAACATGAGAAGGAGCGAGAGGAGGAACAGTAGGAGGAGAAGAGAGGAGGAACAGTAGGAGGAGAGAGGAGATAGAGGAGGAACAGGAGAGAAGAGACATGAGGAGAGAGTGGAGGAGCATGAGGAGGAGAGAGTGGATAGGTATGAGGAGCAGGTGCTGAGCATGGACACGCAGATACAGAGGAAGAGAAGGAGGAGGAGGAGGTGCACTCACTGCGGTTGCACAGGTGGCAGGAGTGGTGCTGTGATTGGTTGTGGACTCTCATGTGATCTGTGATGTAAGCGGCCGACAGCAGCTTCCCACAGACGTGACACGGAACCTTCTCCTCGTGACGGATCAGATGAGCGCGCAGGCGATCACGAGTGGCAAAGGCCGAGGAGCAGGTCTGTGGGGAGGCACAAGAGGAGCAGTGAGGAGCAGGTCTGTGGGGAGGCACAAGAGGAGCAGTGAGGAGCAGGTCTGTGGGGAGGAGCAGTGAGGAGCAGGTCTGTGGAGAGGAGCAGTGAGGAGCAGGTCTGTGGGGAGGCACAAGAGGAGCAGTGAGGAGCAGGTCTGTGGGGAGGCACAAGAGGAGCAGGTCTGTGGGGAGGCACAAGAGGAGCAGTGAGGAGCAGGTCTGTGGAGAGGCACAAGAGGAGCAGTGAGGAGCAGGTCTGTGGGGAGGCACGAGAGGAGCAGTGAGGAGCAGGTCTGTAGAGAGGAGCAGTGAGGAGCAGGTCTGTAGAGAGGAGCAGTGAGGAGCAGGTCTGTGGAGAGGCACAAGAGGAGCAGTGAGGAGCAGGTCTGTGGGGAGGAGCAGTGAGGAGCAGGTCTGTGGGGAGGCACAAGAGGAGGAGTGAGGAGCAGGTCTGTGGGGAGGCACAAAAGGAGCAGTGAGGAGCAGGTCTGTGGGGAGGCACAAGAGGAGCAGTGAGGAGCAGGTCTGTGGGGAGGCACAAAAGGAGCAGTGAGGAGCAGGTCTGTGGGGAGGAGCAGTGAGGAGCAGGTCTGTGGGGAGGAGCAGTGAGGAGCAGGTCTGTGGAGAGGAGCAGTGAGGAGCAGGTCTGTGGAGAGGCACAAGAGGAGCAGTGAGGAGCAGGTCTGTGGAGAGGCACAAGAGGAGCAGTGAGGAGCAGGTCTGTGGGGAGGCACAAGAGGAGCAGTGAGGAGCAGGTCTGTGGGGAGGCACAAGAGGAGCAGTGAGGAGCAGGTCTGTGGGGAGGCACAAGAGGAGCAGTGAGGAGCAGGTCTGTGGGGAGGCACAAGAGGAGCAGTGAGGAGCAGGTCTGTGGAGAGGAGCAGTGAGGAGCAGGTCTGTAGAGAGGAGCAGTGAGGAGCAGGTCTGTAGAGAGGAGCAGTGAGGAGCAGGTCTGTGGAGAGGAGCAGTGAGGAGCAGGTCTGTGGGGAGGCACAAGAGGAGGAGTGAGGAGCAGGTCTGTGGGGAGGCACAAAAGGAGCAGTGAGGAGCAGGTCTGTGGGGAGGCACAAGAGGAGCAGTGAGGAGCAGGTCTGTGGGGAGGCACAAAAGGAGCAGTGAGGAGCAGGTCTGTGGGGAGGCACAAGAGGAGCAGTGAGGAGCAGGTCTGTGGGGAGGCACAAGAGGAGCAGTGAGGAGCAGGTCTGTGGGGAGGAGCAGTGAGGAGCAGGTCTGTGGAGAGGAGCAGTGAGGAGCAGGTCTGTGGGGAGGCACAAGAGGAGCAGTGAGGAGCAGGTCTGTGGAGAGGCACAAGAGGAGCAGTGAGGAGCAGGTCTGTGGAGAGGAGCAGTGAGGAGCAGGTCTGTGGAGAGGAGCAGTGAGGAGCAGGTCTGTAGGGAGGCACAAGAGGAGCAGTGAGGAGCAGGTCTGTGGGGGGAGGAGCAGTGAGGAGCAGGTCTGTGGGGAGGCACAAAAGGAGCAGTGAGGAGCAGGTCTGTGGGGAGGCACAAGAGGAGCAGTGAGGAGCAGGTCTGTGGGGAGGCACAAGAGGAGCAGTGAGGAGCAGGTCTGTGGGGAGGAGCAGTGAGGAGCAGTGAGGAGCAGGTCTGTGGGGAGGCACAAAAGGAGCAGTGAGGAGCAGGTCTGTGGGGAGGCACAAGAGGAGCAGGTCTGTAGGGAGGAGCAGTGAGGAGCAGGTCTGTAGAGAGGAGCAGTGAGGAGCAGGTCTGTGGAGAGGAGCAGTGAGGAGCAGGTCTGTGGAGAGGAGCAGTGAGGAGCAGGTCTGTGGAGAGGAGCAGTGAGGAGCAGGTCTGTGGAGAGGAGCAGTGAGGAGCAGGTCTGTGGAGAGGAGCAGTGAGGAGCAGGTCTGTGGAGAGGAGCAGTGAGGAGCAGGTCTGTGGAGAGGAGCAGTGAGGAGCAGGTCTGTGGGAAGGAGCAGTGAGGAGCAGGTCTGGAGAGGAGCAGTGAGGAGCAGGTCTGTAGAGAGGAGCAGTGAGGAGCAGGTCTGTGGAGAGGAGCAGTGAGGAGCAGGTCTGTAGAGAGGAGCAGTGAGGAGCAGGTCTGTGGAGAGGAGCAGTGAGGAGCAGTGAGGAGCAGGTCTGTGGAGAGGAGCAGTGAGGAGCAGGTCTGTAGAGAGGAGCAGTGAGGAGCAGGTCTGTAGAGAAGAGCAGTGAGGAGCAGGTCTGTAGAGAAGAGCAGTGAGGAGCAGGTCTGTGGGGAGGCACAAGAGGAGCAGTGAGGAGCAGGTCTGTGGAGAGGAGCAGTGAGGAGCAGGTCTGTGGGGAGGCACAAGAGGAGCAGTGAGGAGCAGGTCTGTGGGGAGGCACAAGAGGAGCAGTGAGGGGCAGGTCTGTGGGGAGGCACAAGAGGAGCAGTGAGGAGCAGGTCTGTGGAGAGGCACAAGAGGAGCAGTGAGGAGCAGGTCTGTGGAGAGGCACAAGAGGAGCAGTGAGGAGCAGGTCTGTGGGGAGGCACAAGAGGAGCAGTGAGGAGCAGGTCTGTGGAGAGGCACAAGAGGAGCAGGTCTTTTGGTCTTTTAGCCTCAGTGCACCGGTGTCAGATTTGGGGGTGGCAGCATCGTGCTGTGGAGCTGCTTTTCTTTCGCAGGGACAGGGAAGCCTAAACACAGAGCTCCAATGTACTGGTCTAAACATATACATGTGTGAGAGCTGTCCGAGTCCAGACCTGAAGCTGTTCTGTAAAGAGGAATGGGCAAAACCTTTTGTAGAATCAGACCCAAAAGACAAATGGGGAGCGTAAAACCCTGGGGTAGCTCTACAGGAGGTCAACTCTACAGGAGGTCAACTCTAGAGGAGGAGGTCAGCTCTAGAGGAGGAGGTCAGCTCTACAGGAGGAGGTCAGCTCTACAGGAGGTCTTCTCTACAGGAGGAGGTCAGCTCTAGAGGAGGAGGTCAGCTCTACAGGAGGAGGTCAGCTCTACAGGAGGAGGTCAACTCTACAGGAGGTCAACTCTACAGGAGGTCAGCTCTAAAGGAGGTCAGCTCTACAGGAGGAGGTCAACTCTACAGGAGGAGGTCAACTCTACAGGAGGTCAGCTCTACAGGAGGAGGTCAACTCTACAGGAGGAGGTCAGCTCTACAGGAGGAGGTCAGCTCTACAGGAGGTCAGCTCTACAGGAGGAGGTCAGCTCTAGAGGAGGTCAGCTCTAGAGGAGGTCAGCTCTACAGGAGGAGGTCAGCTCTAGAGGAGGTAAGCTCTACAGGAGGAGGTCAGCTCTACAGGAGGACGTCAGCTCTACAGGAGGAGGTCAGCTCTACAGGAGGTCAGCTCTACAGGAGGAAGTCAGCTCTACAGGAGGAAGTCAGCTCTACAGGAGGAAGTCAGCTCTACAGGAGGAAGTCAGCTCTACAGGAGGAAGTCAGCTCTACAGGAGGAAGTCAGCTCTACAGGAGGAGGTCAGCTCTACAGGAGGAGGTCAGCTCTACAGGAGGTCAGCTCTACAGGAGGAGGAGCTTACGGTGCACTTGAAGGGCCTCTCAGTGGAGTGCACTTGTCTCACGTGGCTGTTCAGATGGTCCGGTCTGAAACACACAATACACACTTTAGACAAGACACACACAGTTTAGACAGGACACCCACACACACACACACACACACACACACACTAGAGAGGAGACACACGTTACCGGGAGAAGGCCTTGGCGCAGTGCGGACAGACGTAGGGCTTCTCCACGCCGCCCTGGTGCGAGCGGACGTGGTAGCTCATGCGGTCCTTGCGTTTGAAGCGCTGCTGACACACGGGGCAGGAGTACGGCTTCTCGTCGGAGTGGGACAGGCGGTGGCGGTTCAGGTGGTACACGTCCCGGAAGGCCTTACCGCACGCCTCGCATGCGTGGTTCTTCCGGATGGGCGTGGCGTTGGGTGGTGGCGCCGGGGCCTGGACAGAGGGCAGAGTCGGGCGTTCATTCCAAACCCGTCCCAAATCAATGACCTTTGACACCACAGAGACGGTTGTAAAAATAATTTATAAACTGAATATTAGCGCCGCGCTCTCGCCTCGCAATGACAGCGACATGGGGCCTTTCTGAGAGTTTGCAGGTTTCCCCCAGGTGCTCCGGTTTCTAGCCTCACTCTCGCCAGACCCTTATAGACCGCTAACACATGGGTCTGGGTTTGCGTCGTAGAAGATACATTTCAGAAGGCGGGGCCTTGTAAAAAAATCCTTGTATGTGATTGGAGTAACCACATGTTCGTTATCTTGAATGACGTCTGCCTTCAACCAATCACATCGAAGCACACGACTCCATGGGTTGCCCAATGCCGGCAAGATTTTCCAGCCCAAAACCCGCGAGAATGCCCAAAAAAATTAAAATAAACACCCAGAATAATGTTTTGGCTAAAAACATTATTGGGCCATCAACTTGGGCTATCATGATTCTGTTTATTGTCTTTTTGTTTATTTATTACCTACAAGTCACTTGGAACAAATGTATGCAGGAAACCTCCCAACCTGGCAACCCCCACAGTGGGGCGGCCAAAGTGCCATTGTGTCCTTAGGCAAGACACTTTGCAATGCGCTCGATCCCAGACCCTTGTGTGTGAAACGCCTCCAGTGGAGCATGGCGGAACTACAAGGGCCCGGCGAGAGTCAGGCTACGGGTTTCCTCTACCACTAAAAACATGTACATGGACTAAGGATAAACTATAGCAAATACAGCGTTAAAGCTAGCTAAAACACCTAGCAGCTAATTATTTACTATTATCATTACTATTGTCAGCTTTTTAGATTGATCCATTTATTTTTTATATTTGCTGCTACTGGACACCTGAATTTCTTCTACAAGGATCAATAAAGTATCTATTTTATTTTGTGTGCTCTTATTACTGTCCTGTCTGTGCGCTGCAACATTGAAATTTCCCCACTGTGGGATGAATAAAGGATCTCTTATAACAATACATGTTTGGTCCCACAAGGCTTTCTACAAGTTCTAACACAGTCTGGTCCAGTATCATCTCACACACAAAGGGTTTTAGATGAATACAAGATGTGTTTTAAAGCTGAGGTACGTAACTTTCAGACCACATTAGAGCTCTAATGAAACCCATGTCTCTAGTTCCTGGCTCTAAAACAGATTTCTTCTATCATTTTCACATCTTTAGATCCGCGTTTTCAGAGAGAAAGGAGAAAAAGAGAGGGCCACGGTCACAGCTCTCAGCCCAAAGAGTCAGGCTGTGACTCTCAGGGTTCTTTCTCAAACAAAAGCGTTCCAAGATGAAGAAACATTCACCTGTTCGACGGCGCCCACCACCACCACCGCGGTCTGGATGTTCTGAGAGGGCGTGGCCATGGAGACAGTCGCCGGGGCGATGGATGCGGTTGCCGGGGCGATGCAGACAGAGATCGTGTCCATGGTGACGCTGACAGTGGGCGTGGCCTACACAGCAAAGAGATAACCGGTTCCATGAGGATTAGAGCTAACACCAACAGGCTCCATGAGGATTAGAGCTAACACCAACAGGTTCCATGAGGATTAGAGCTAACACCAACAGGCTCCATGAAGATTAGAGCTTACACCAACAGGCTCTATGAAGATTAGAGTTTACACCAACAGGCTCTATGAAGATTAGAGCTTACACCAACAGGCTCCATGAGGATTAGAGCTAACACCAACAGGTTCCATGAGGATTAGAGCTAACACCAACAGGCTCCATGAGGATTAGAGCTAACACCAACAGGCTCCATGAGGATTAGAGCTTACACCAACAGGCTCCATGAAGATTAGAGCTTACACCAACAGGCTCTATGAAGATTAGAGCTTACACCAACAGGCTCCATGAGGATTAGAGCTTACACCAACAGGCTCCATGAGGATTAGAGCTTACACCAACAGGCTCTATGAAGATTAGAGCTTACACCAACAGGCTCCATGAAGATTAGAGCTTACACCAACAGGCTCTATGAAGATTAGAGCTTACACCAACAGGCTCCATGAAGATTAGAGCTAACACCAACAGGCTCCATGAGGATAAGAGCTTACACCAACAGGCTCCATGAGGATTAGAGCTTACACCAACAGGCTCCATGAGGATTAGAGCTTACACCAACAGGCTCCATGAGGATTAGAGCTTACACCAACAGGCTCCATGAGGATTAGAGCTTACACCAACAGGCTCCATGAGGATTAGAGCTTACACCAACAGGCTCCATGAGGATTAGAGCTAACACCAACAGGCTCCATGAGGATTAGAGCTTACACCAACAGGCTCCATGAAGATTAGAGCTAACACCAACAGGCTCCATGAGGATAAGAGCTAACACCAACAGGCTCCATGAGGATAAGAGCTTACACCAACAGGCTCCATGAGGATTAGAGCTTACACCAATAGGCTCCATGAGGATAAGAGCTAACACCAACAGGCTCCATGAGGATAAGAGCTTACACCAACAGGCTCCATGAGGATTAGAGCTTACACCAACAGGCTCCATGAGGATAAGAGCTAACACCAACAGGCTCCATGAGGATAAGAGCTTACACCAACAGGCTCCATGAGGATTAGAGCTTACACCAACAGGCTCCATGAGGATAAGAGCTTACACCAACAGGCTCCATGAGGATAAGAGCTAACACCAACAGGCTCCATGAGGATTAGAGCTTACACCAACAGGCTCCATGAAGATTAGAGCTAACACCAACAGGCTCCATGAGGATAAGAGCTAACACCAACAGGCTCCATGAGGATAAGAGCTTACACCAACAGGCTCCATGAGGATTAGAGCTTACACCAACAGGCTCCATGAGGATTAGAGCTCACACCAACAGGCTCCATGAGGATAAAGCTGTGTTCACACCAAAAGCTTCAAAACACTTTTGACGCGTGTTTGACGCTGATTTATTGTTGTAATGTTGGTGCTTGAAGCTCCTGACGCCGGGTGGGAGGAGCTTCTCTGTTGACGGTAGAGTCCAGAGACAATGGAGGATTTCCAGAGAGCAGCCTTTAGTTGTTTTATAAAGCCAAACAACGTCGTCGTATATTCTACCCAGTCTGTGGTGTTCTGGGTTCACCACAGACTTGAGGCTGCAGTGTTTGCGGAGACTCACCGTTTACTTCACCGTTTACTTCACCGTTTACTTCACCACCGGTACTTCCTCATGTCACTCGCTCAGTTTGAGTACCCGCACCCCGGAGCTCGCCCGCCTGGACAACAACTACAGGCACTCGCTCCCACGGAGGAGTCTGCTGTGTCTGAGCCAGACTCAGCGTCAGCTTATTCTTATATTAAATAAATTACTTTTACTTCACAGCATGTGTACAATGATTTTGTTACTTAAGAACGTTACTACTCATACAAATAATATTACTAATAAGAATAATGACAGCAAAGCAGCAGCAGCTACATGACTTCTTTCCATGCTGCTCCTCGTCTCCTGATTGGTTGACGCCGGGTGTCAAGCTCGAGAAGCTCAGCTTTTCTCAATTTCAAGTCAAGTTAGCCACAGGATGAGTCATCGACTTAAGTCAGTAAAATGACGTATGCGGCAGCTCAACTCGACAGGAAAGTTTCTGCTATCACACAGCAGCAGTGTGGTTCAGGAGCAGCTGACTGTTGACTTGACTATTCAAACCCACATATAACAACACGGAACCATCAACATCTCGCCTCAAATTGCATCAAAAGTGAAATTTGTGTCTTAATTCGTTCGTATTTTAACTTTTTACACTTCATGTCCGCCATCTTGATTTGCTTCGGCTGCTGTGAAACCAGTGGGGCGGGTCCCAGCTCAAAAGTGGCCAAAATAACGTGCGCTGACATGCTGCAGTACCACCCCGGGCCGATGGGGGTGGACCCAGAAGTAGAATTAGCCAATGCTAACATATAGCATTGGCAGACCTCTCAAAAACGTCTTTACAGGATGGACCAAAAGTTGTCTCTTGGCCCAAAGCTCCGTTCCACGTGTGTGTCAATGCTGAGGGGAGTGTTTTGGACCAGTGTTGCCAACTTAGCGACTTTATCGCTAGATTTAGCGACTTTTCAGACCCTATAGCGACTTTTTTTCAAAAAAGCGACAGATCTAGACAAAGCATTAAAATCATTAAATGTTGTTAATGTTGAAATTATTTTTGTACATTTGTAGTTCTAAACATATTTAGGGTGTTTTTTACTCACTTTTGTCTCTCCCACGACCTTATTCCTCTCTCCTACAGCGTCCGTTACAGTTATTTGCAAATTGACAATTATGCAAATGAGGCAATGACGTCATTTAGCGACTTCTAACGACTTTTGGGACAGCCAATAGCTACTTTCCTTACTGAGGAGTTGGCAACACTGTTCTGGACCAGTCTAGTTTAGTCGCTGTGAATTTTAGAAGTCTCTCGTTCAAATGAATGGAGCTGCGCCGGCTGACGCATGCGCAGATGCGTTTTTTCACAATTTTCTTGTGGGCGGGACCACTCGCGGCCATCTTGGATTGATCCATGAAAGCCCTTTTCATGGCAAACTCCTATGAACGGCGGAGATAGGCGTGACTCTGTCCGTTATTATATACAGTCTATGTGTGAAACGCGCATGCATTACATCATAAACAGCTGAGGGAGCTCATCTCGACGGGTAGACCAACTCCACAGAACACCGGCCCTACTTCTTTTGTTTAATACCAATTCTGTACTGAATAAACAATACATAACACATTCTTACCATTAATGCCGACTAAGATTTTACATTGTCCACCTGTATACAGTCTATGGTTGGTACCTGGTCTGTAGGCAGGCCCTGGATCGTGGGCAGTCCCTGGATGGTGGGCAGGCCCTGGATGGTGGGCAGGCCCTGGATGGTGGGCAGGCCCTGGACGGTGGGCAGGCCCTGGATGGTGGGCAGGCCCTGGATGGTGGGCAGGCCCTGGACGGTGGGCAGGGTGAGCTGCAGCAGGGATAGGGGCACCGGGGTCTTCTTGGCAGCCTCGTCTTTGTCACGTGCGGCGGCCCGGTCCTTCATCCGGACCCCCGTGTGCACGGACTGGTGCCGCCGCAGGTTGTACCCGTTCTTAAACTCCTTGTTGCAGGTGGCACAGATGTGGGCGGGGCGAGCGGGCTTCAGCAGCGGCTTCGCTGCAGAGACCAGACTTTAGTACAATATACACATTTGTAAATACCTCCGAACCAAGTGCAATTATAGATCCATATTTTTATTTTACCATCTTATTATTTTAATATTATTATCTATTATCTTAAATAATAGATACTGCTGGATGTGTGCAATCTGAGTGCTCTTCTTTCCTACTTTTTATTCTGCTGTAATGTGCGCAACGATGACATCGACATTTCATAAAGGATATTATCTTATCTCTTAGGACAGACCCACTCTCAGGACTACAGCAGGACTACAGCAGGACTACAGCAGGACTACAGCAGGACTACAGCAGGACTGAAGAAAGTCTAAAGACAATCTAAAGCAGGTCTCACCGGGCGGAGGCTCCTCGTTCAGGGCGGCTGTGTCCACAGTGGATGGGGGACTGGCCAGCGGCTCCTCTGGACTCTGGGAATCCAGGTCTGGCAGCAGCTCGGACTGAAGAGGGGCATCGTTCTGGGTCTGAGAGGAGGTCTGAGGGAGAGAGGGAGGTGAGACTGGGAGAGCTGAGGACTGAGGAAAGCCAGGACAGGTCACATGTTCAGACTCAGTCTGTTTTATAACCATAAAATATTTACTTTATTGTTTTCAAGTTTTAAAATGATGCATTTATGCTACATCACAAGTATTAGTATTAATACATTATTAGTATTATTTTGAAACATATTTTCTATCAGTTTGTGGCCAACATCAATAGAACTTTAATCCCTAAATATGACGAACATGATCATAAATGTTTTTAATCTTCATAAAAACATCAATACTTTTATAGTGCTTTTCTGGACACACAGACAGTGGTGGTGAAGGACTACTGCAGCCACAGCTGCCCTGACCACTACGGGCCACCACTATGTGCCGTCAGCCCCTGTGACCATCACCATCATTCACACACTCACACTAATGTGGGAGAAGTGTCTTGCCTAAGGACACAACAGCCCCCCCTCTGTGGCACCTGGTGATCCCAGTATTGTGTATTTAGAGCTAATAATAATAATAATAATAATAATAATGCATTGGTTTTATATAGCGCTTTTCTGGACACTCAAAGACACTTCGCATGTCATTATTCTCTCTCTCCAAACACGGTGGTGATAAACTACTGTAGCCACAGCTGCCCTGGGGCACACTGACAGAAGCGAGGCAACCAGTCTGTGCCATCGGCCCCTCCCACCACCACCAACCATTCACACACACACCAGACTCATTCTAGGCAATGGGGGTGAAGTGTCTTGCCTAAGGACACAACGACAGCAGATATCAGTGGGAGTTGATGGTGAAGATCGGGCTCAAACCCACGACCCTCTGGCTTAAAGGCCAACGCTCTACAACTGAGCTACCGTCATCCGATACAGATCTAGATCTTTTTCTTGAATGACCACAAACCAAAGCAAATCAAATCATGATTCTCAGTCCCAGGAGAGCTCCGATCAAAGTACTAAGTTCTGAGGTCTGCCAGGACCTGGCGTTCACCTGCAGGGGGCGCCATAGCACCCAGCATCAACACAAGAGGTTTCCTTTTATGTGTCGCGTTGTAAAGTTTCACTGCTGGACACTAGAACTTCAGTTTCCACTCACCGAGTAAACACTTTGCACTTCAAATCCGGAGTGGGGTCGTTTTTGCGAATTGCTTGGCTGCGACTCTGTGTAAACTGGACCTAAAATCCCCACAAAGCTGTAGTTCCCCGTCAGCTGAGGACGAGCCATTTAAGAGACACTGAGGTTGTGGGGAAAGGATATAGGCTGCAGTACTGCGGGTGGCCTCTAGTCCATGTGTAGACAACGTGACAACGTTAAGCAGCAACACCCTCAACATAATACCACACATGTTAGAAGATATGTACAGTGTTGTGCACAAACTAAACAACACACTGTAAAACAAAATCCTGTTTCAAAATTGTTAATAATTTGGTTTAGCGCCCTCTGAGATCCAGGGGTTTATGTTGTGCTATAGTTTCGGTAAATTCAGATATGAGCCCTACAATGATTGACCAATCACAGGCCTTCCTGAGTGGGGAAATTCCAGCATGCCCTAGCAACCGTCTTAGCAACAAGTTTGCCCCGGTTACAACGTGAAGCTAACGCAGTCAGAACAAATGCTCATTAAGGCTAACATTTTGGTGATTTTCATCTATAGAATGTTCTTGAGGAAACACACTCGTCATTTTCCTGAACTTAAGGATAAAACCGTCTTCCTCAGAGCGAACGCCTTTTATAACGTGTTGCATATCACCAGAATGATTGACAGTTAGGAGGACCAATAGAGATGATCACCCAGAAGAAGAAAATCCTCCCATTTACCGTTAACATAAACTTTTCCAAGTTTTTTTCAGCTGTAAATACCCAACTTTCTTAATATCTTCCATCTTGCCGTATCCCATAGAAACTTTGAAATTTAAATCAAATAATGAGTTGAAAACCAATAGATGATTTCACCAAACGACCAAAGACCATCAGCTCTATGTGAGCCACTATTTGACTCTTTGGGCTGAGAGCTGATTGGCTGAACGAGGGTGGTCCTCTCTGTCTCATGTTTGCATACTTCCTGTATTTTTGCACAACCTGAGTGATATTATCTATGCAAAATGTGACGTAAATTACCCTAAAGTGAGATCAATCCAATTTTATCTCATCTTTTCTGTCTGAAAAGGCTGATCTAAAGATGTGACAGAGGGCACAAGTAAAAGCAACTGTTTTAAATCCAGAGACACATGTTTTATTTAGAGTTCTGTTGTTGTGGTCTGAAAGTTACGTACCCCAGCTTTAAGCGACAAACCCAGGGAGCAGTGTCCAATGTGTGCCCGGGCTGTGACCTCCCCCCTCCCCGGCCCTGAAGCTCCTCTCCCCCCAGCCCCATCCATCCTCACCTGGAAGAGGAAATTACTCCACGACGTGTCCATGGTTCACCCCCCGCCACCAGAGCTCCAGACAGCGGGCTGAGGCAACACCAGTGTCCGGGGAGGAGTGAGGGCAGAGCGGCCACGGGAACTCAAGTCTCCCCGGGGCCAAAAAGCTCCACAAAACAGCCCCAACGCAGAGAAACGAGCAGAAATGGCGGAGGAGAGGGGTGTTTGCCTGTTAATGAGTTTTAATGTGTGATTTATGTTTATCCAAACCGCTGCTTAGAAGATGCTAAAAATGCGCCAAACGTCGGTCGCCATTTTTTCTGCTCGGAATGGTTCATTTTCACACATCTGCTTATGTCTGACTGCATGCAAATTAGTCAAAAACGTCAAATTATGAAGTGAAAAGTCATGGTGTAGAGGCGTGAGCGCGGTGGTGTGGAGGCCTGGCGGGCGCTCCAGAGCCTCGGGTCGTCGTGCTTGCGTTAGCCGGGCTCAGAGCGCTCTTCCGCGGCCTGACTCCGTGACTCCGCCCCGCTGTGCTCCACATGGCGACATCTTGTTTTGGTTTTTTCTGCTCGGTGCCCTCCCCTCCTTCAGCCACGGTTTGGTGTTTGAGCCCCGCGCAGGTTTAAAGAGCCCTCCCCACCCGAAGCTGCTCCTCTCCCCGGATCTCCTCCTACGCAGTGCCCCGGTCCCCGCAGTCCGGTTCGCTGGGTTTGGGTTCCGTGTCTTTCCTGGAGCCTCCTCACGGCCGGTTCTAGGCATGCGGGGGCCCTAAACAAGACCCCCACCCCCCCCACACACACACACACACACACACACACACACATACACATACAAGAAATCAACACACAATAAAAAACACATGTGATTTATAAAACAGCGAAAAACAGAAACATTAAAACTGCAAGCGGCATCGAACGGCTTTTGAACATGGAAAATTGTATGCTTATAATCCCCAATTTACACAAAGCTACGCACATTACAGGAGTTTTCCATTTACACCAGAGGGTCATTCTACGCCTTTTTCCAGTCTTCTCTGCAGTGATAAACATGATGCCATAAAAACCATAGTGTTTTCCTTACCGCAGAAGAGGCCTATCAGAGCCAACTTGAACAGGCTGTTTGTGCTGGAACCTAGAGCCAAATTTATGCAAAGGCCAATTACCGATAGCGGCGCTGCTCAGCCTCCACTCACGATACTGGCTGTTAAAGCTGAATTCTGCAATAGATGGTTCCTGATTGGTCAATTGTTAGGGTTTTCAACAATATCACAATATCAACTTAGGGATCAGAGAGCGCCAAACTACACATTTAGGGCAAAATAATCAGTGTGACACTAATGGTTTCTGAGCTAGGAGTTCGCCATGAGCACTTCTCTTTTGGGCTTCATTAAGCTTGTGGGTTAGCATTGAGCGAGCTGAGGATGTGTTGACAACCGACTACATGAAGTAGAATTTTAGAAATGTGAACTTTTCAATTTGTCTGTTGAATAAAAATGTTCTTTCCCAAAAACAGAAGATCAAATAAGTATAAAAAATAAGACATAACAATTGTCGAAACAACACATTTTATTGTCATTTTACAGTAAAATCAGCAAAAATACAGAATTATATTAAGCTACAAACATAATGTATTTTACATATTGTACATTCATGGCTCCTCAGTCTGACCCCAGTCCAGAGGCTGATCCAGGTGATGTCATCAGGTCTGTGATGTCATCAGGCGTTACTTTCACTTTCACTTTAATGGGGACACCTGAGGACTGACAGACTGTTCTAATAATTCATGTTTTTTAATATAAATTAAGACAGATATATACTTCTTCAAATGGAGATTTTGATTTGACTGCAGCCCTAATGGCTTCTATGCAGTTTATTTAAGTCACGTTTCCACCAGATCGACGCTCCTCTGGCCCTGTTTAACCAGTACCAGGTCCTTCAACTCTACTCTTGGCCCTAGTTCTATCCAGACCAAACTGGTACTAACGTGTTCTAACTGATACAGAGTATAATAGAGTACAGCTGGGGGGGGAAAAAGAGCAAAATAATTTTTGTGTCATTATTTTAGTGCCGTTTTTGGCCGAAACCTCGAAGTTGTTCAAAAGGGACTGAGTAAAACCACTGTAACAACAAAGCACCGACATAGCAGCGTTTTTACATAAGTCGCAACATTTCTCCAGGAGGTCAGTTTAACGGACGTCTTTCATATTTCTTGAACCCGAAAAGTTGGATCGTTGTCCAAACTGGGGTCCGACTGAAGCGTCTCTCACAGGTCCAGAATCAAAATCACAAAAACGATGGAATTTTCAGAATCATAAAAATCACCACGAAACGTAAAAACTCGAATATTCAGCAATAATTAAATAAATACAAGTTCAAAGTGGAACAAATCTAATCGTTTTAAGCCACGAAATGGGAGGATTTCAGCTTCTGAGGGAGGAGCCTGAGGGAGGCCAGGGGGAGGAGCCTGAGGGAGGGGGCGGGGCCTGCTACACAAGCCAATACCAGAACGCAGAGAGAAATACTGACAAATGGATTTTCATGTTGGTGTAAGTTCCAACACAGTACAGTGCGTCGCTGATCCCTACGATCCCACCTCGTGTCTTAAAACGTTTCTAATCAGTGCTTCTTACAATAATATATAATAATAACAATAATAAGGTGATATATATTTGTGTATTTACTCTTCAATATATCTGTATTCACACACTGTAAAACTATGGAGGCTTCAAACTCACCACAGCTCCTGCAAGGGCTGGGGGAGGCGTAGAGTACCTCTCCTTTCTCCCTCACGACCCTCTTCTCTCCCTCAAGGCAGTCTTCTCTCCCTCTCCCCTCCCTCACGGCTCTCTTTTCTCTCCCTCAAGGCCCTCTTCTCTCCCTCAAGGCCCTCTTCTCTCCCTCAAGGCCCTCTTCCTCACGGGTCTTTTCTCTCCCTCTCGACCCTCTCCTCTCCCTCACGGCCCTCTCCCCTCCCTCACGGCTCTCTTTTCTCTCCCTCAAGGCCCTCTTTTCTCTCCCTCAAGGCCCTCTTCCTCACGGGTCTTTTCTCCCCCTCACGGCTCTCTTTTCTCTCCCTCAAGGCCCTCTTTTCTCTCCCTCAAGGCCCTCTTCCTCACGGGTCTTTTCTCTCCCTCTCGACCCTCTCCTCCCCCTCACGGCCCTCTCCTCCCCCTCACGGCCCTCTCCTCCCCCTCACGGCCCTCTCCTCCCCCTCACGGCCCTCTCCCCTCCCTCACTGCCCTCTCCTCCCCCTCACGGCCCTCTCCTCCCCCTCACTGCCCTCTCCTCCCCCTCACGGCCCTCTCCTCTCCCTCACGGCCCTCTCCTCTCCCTCACGGCTCTCTTTTCTCTCCCTCAAGGCCCTCTTTTCTCTCCCTCAAGGCCCTCTTCCTCACGGGTCTTTTCTCTCCCTCTCGACCCTCTCCTCTCCCTCACGGTCCTCTCCTCCCCCTCACGGCCCTCTCCTCCCCCTCACGGCCCTCTCCCCTCCCTCACGGCCCTCTCCTCCCCCTCACGGCCCTCTCCTCCCCCTCACGGCCCTCTCCTCCCCCTCACTGCCCTCTCCTCCCCCTCACGGCCCTCTCCTCTCCCTCACGGCCCTCTCCTCTCCCTCACGGTCCTCTCCTCTCCCTCACGGTCCTCTCCTCCCCCTCACGGCCCTCTCCTCCCCCTCACGGCCCTCTCCTCCCCCTCACGGCCCTCTCCTCCCCCTCACGGCCCTCTCCCCTCCCTCACTGCCCTCTCCTCCCCCTCACGGCCCTCTCCTCCCCCTCACTGCCCTCTCCTCCCCCTCACGGCCCTCTCCTCTCCCTCACGACCCTCTCCTCTCCCTCACGGCTCTCTTTTCTCTCCCTCAAGGCCCTCTTTTCTCTCCCTCAAGGCCCTCTTCCTCACGGGTCTTTTCTCTCCCTCTCGAGCCTCTCCTCTCCCTCACGGTCCTCTCCTCCCCCTCACGGCCCTCTCCTCCCCCTCACGGCCCTCTCCCCTCCCTCACGGCCCTCTCCTCCCCCTCACGGTCCTCTCCTCCCCCTCACGGCCCTCTCCTCCCCCTCACTGCCCTCTCCTCCCCCTCACTGCCCTCTCCTCCCCCTCACGGCCCTCTCCTCTCCCTCACGGCCCTCTCCTCTCCCTCACGGCCCTCTCCTCTCCCTCACGGTCCTCTCCTCCCCCTCACGGCCCTCTCCTCCCCCTCACGGCCCCTCCTCCCCCCCACGGCCCTCTCCTCCCCCTCACGGCCCTCTCCCCCCCCTCACGGCCCTCTCCCCTCCCTCACGGCCCTCTCCTCCCCCTCACGGCCCTCTCCTCCCCCTCACTGCCCTCTCCTCCCCCTCACGGTCCTCTCCTCTCCCTCACGACCCTCTCCTCTCCCTCACGGCCCTCTCCTCTCCCTCACGGCCCTCTCCTCCCCCTCACGGCCCTCTCCTCCCCCTCACGGCCCTCTCCTCCCCCTCACTGTCCTCTCCTCCCCCTCACGATCCTCTCCTCCCCCTCACGGCCCTCTCCTCTCCCTCACGGCCCTCTCCTCTCCCTCACGGCCCTCTCCTCCCCCTCACGGCCCTCTCCTCCCCCTCACGTCCCTCTCCTCCCCCTCACGGCCCTCTCCCCTCCCTCACGACCCTCTCCCCTCCCTCACGGCCCTCTCCTCCCCCTCACGGTCCTCTCCCCTCCCTCACGGCCCTCTCCTCCCCCTCACGGCCCTCTCCCCTCCCTCACGACCCTCTCCCCTCCCTCACGGCCCTCTCCTCCCCCTCACGGCCCTCTCCCCTCCCTCACGACCCTCTCCCCTCCCTCACGGCCCTCTCCTCCCCCTCACGGTCCTCTCCCCTCCCTCACGACCCTCTCCTCCCCCTCACGGCCCTCTCCTCTCCCTCACGGCCCTCTCCTCTCCCTCACGGCCCTCTCCTCCCCCTCACGTCCCTCTCCTCCCCCTCACGGCCCTCACTGCCCTCTCCTCCCCCTCACGGCCCTCTCCTCCCCCTCACGGTCCTCTCCCCTCCCTCACGACCCTCTCCTCCCCCTCACGGCCCTCTCCCCTCCCTCACGACCCTCTCCTCTCCCTCACGGCCCTCTCCTCCCCCTCACTGCCCTCTCCTCCCCCTCACTGCCCTCTCCTCCCCCTCACGGCCCTCTCCTCCCCCTCACGGCCCTCTCCTCTCCCTCACTGCCCTCTCCTCCCCCTCACGGCCCTCTCCCCTCCCTCACGGCCCTCTCCTCCCCCTCACGGCCCTCTCCCCTCCCTCACGGCCCTCTCCTCCCCCTCACGTCCCTCTCCCCTCCCTCACGGCCCTCTCCTCCCCCTCACGGCCCTCTCCTCCCCCTCACTGCCCTCTCCTCCCCCTCACGGCCCTCTCCTCCCCCTCACGGCCCTCTCCCCTCCCTCACGGCCCTCTCCTCCCCCTCACGTCCCTCTCCCCTCCCTCACGGCCCTCTCCTCCCCCTCACGGCCCTCTCCCCTCCCTCACTGCCCTCTCCTCCCCCTCACGGCCCTCTCCTCCCCCTCACGGCCCTCTCCTCCCCCTCACGGCCCTCTCCTCCCCCTCACGTCCCTCTCCCCTCCCTCACGGCCCTCTCCTCCCCCTCACGGCCCTCTCCCCTCCCTCACTGCCCTCTCCTCCCCCTCACGGCCCTCTCCTCCCCCTCACGGCCCTCTCCTCCCCCTCACTGCCCTCTCCTCTCCCTCACTGCCCTCTCCTCCCCCTCACGGCCCTCTCCCCTCCCTCACGGCCCTCTCCTCCCCCTCACGGCCCTCTCCCCTCCCTCACTGCCCTCTCCTCCCCCTCACGGCCCTCTCCCCTCCCTCACTGCCCTCTCCTCCCCCTCACGGCCCTCTCCTCCCCCTCACGGCCCTCTCCTCCCCCTCACGGCCCTCTCCCCTCCCTCACGGCCCTCTCCTCCCCCTCACGTCCCTCTCCCCTCCCTCACGGCCCTCTCCTCCCCCTCACGGCCCTCTCCCCTCCCTCACTGCCCTCTCCCCTCCCTCACGGCCCTCTCCTCCCCCTCACGACCCTCTCCCCTCCCTCACGGCCCTCTCCTCCCCCTCACGGTCCTCTCCCCTCCCTCACGGCCCTCTCCTCCCCCTCACGGTCCTCTCCTCTCCCTCACTGCCCTCTCCTCCCCCTCACTGCCCTCTCCTCCCCCTCACGGCCCTCTCCCCTCCCTCACGGCCCTCTCCTCCCCCTCACGGTCCTCTCCCCTCCCTCACGGCCCTCTCCTCCCCCTCACGGCCCTCTCCTCTCCATCACTGCCCTCTCCTCCCCCTCACTGCCCTCTCCTCCCCCTCACGGCCCTCTCCCCTCCCTCACGGTCCTCTCCTCTCCCTCACTGCCCTCTCCTCCCCCTCACGGCCCTCTCCCCTCCCTCACGGCCCTCTCCTCCCCCTCACGGCCCTCTCCCCTCCCTCACGGCCCTCTCCTCCCCCTCACGTCCCTCTCCCCTCCCTCACGGCCCTCTCCTCCCCCTCACGGCCCTCTCCTCCCCCTCACTGCCCTCTCCTCCCCCTCACGGCCCTCTCCTCCCCCTCACGCCCCTCTCCCCTCCCTCACGGCCCTCTCCTCCCCCTCACGTCCCTCTCCCCTCCCTCACTGCCCTCTCCTCCCCCTCACTGCCCTCTCCTCCCCCTCACTGCCCTCTCCCCTCCCTCACGGCCCTCTCCTCCCCCTCACGGCCCTCTCCCCTCCCTCACGGCCCTCTCCTCTCCCTCACGGCCCTCTCCTCCCCCTCACTGCCCTCTCCTCCCCCTCACGGCCCTCTCCCCTCCCTCACGGCCCTCTCCTCTCCCTCACGGCCCTCTCCTCCCCCTCACTGCCCTCTCCTCCCCCTCACGGCCCTCTCCTCCCCCTCACGGCCCTCTCCTCCCCCTCACTGCCCTCTCCTCCCCCTCACGGCCCTCTCCTCCCCCTCACGGCCCTCTCCTCTCCCTCACGGTCCTCTCCTCCCCCTCACGGCCCTCTCCCCTCCCTCACGATCCTCTCCCCTCCCTCACGGCCCTCTCCTCCCCCTCACTGCCCTCTCCTCCCCCTCACGGCCCTCTCCTCCCCCTCACGGCCCTCTCCTCTCCCTCACGGCCCTCTCCTCCCCCTCACGGCCCTCTCCTCCCCCTCACGGCCCTCTCCTCCCCCTCACGGCCCTCTCCTCCCCCTCACGGCCCTCTCCCCTCCCTCACGGCCCTCTCCTCTCCCTCACGGCCCTCTCCTCTCCCTCACGGCCCTCTCCTCTCCCTCACGGCTCTCTTTTCTCTCCCTCAAGGCCCTCTTTTCTCTCCCTCAAGGCCCTCTTCCTCACGGGTCTTTTCTCTCCCTCTCGACCCTCTCCTCTCCCTCACGGTCCTCTCCTCCCCCTCACGGCCCTCTCCTCCCCCTCACGGCCCTCTCCCCTCCCTCACGGCCCTCTCCTCCCCCTCACGGCCCTCTCCTCTCCCTCACGGCCCTCTCCTCCCCCTCACGGCCCTCTCCTCCCCCTCACTGCCCTCTCCTCCCCCTCACTGCCCTCTCCTCCCCCTCACGGCCCTCTCCTCTCCCTCACGGCCCTCTCCTCTCCCTCACGGCCCTCTCCTCTCCCTCACGGTCCTCTCCTCCCCCTCACGGCCCTCTCCTCCCCCTCACGGCCCTCTCCTCCCCCTCACGGCCCTCTCCTCCCCCTCACGGCCCTCTCCCCTCCCTCACTGCCCTCTCCTCCCCCTCACGGCCCTCTCCTCCCCCTCACTGCCCTCTCCTCCCCCTCACGGCCCTCTCCTCTCCCTCACGACCCTCTCCTCTCCCTCACGGCTCTCTTTTCTCTCCCTCAAGGCCCTCTTTTCTCTCCCTCAAGGCCCTCTTCCTCACGGGTCTTTTCTCTCCCTCTCGACCCTCTCCTCTCCCTCACGGTCCTCTCCTCCCCCTCACGGCCCTCTCCTCCCCCTCACGGCCCTCTCCCCTCCCTCACGGCCCTCTCCTCCCCCTCACGGCCCTCTCCTCTCCCTCACGGCCCTCTCCTCCCCCTCACGGCCCTCTCCTCCCCCTCACGGCCCTCTCCTCCCCCTCTCACTGCCCTCTCCTCCCCCTCACTGCCCTCTCCTCCCCCTCACGGCCCTCTCCTCTCCCTCACGGCCCTCTCCTCTCCCTCACGGCCCTCTCCTCTCCCTCACGGCCCTCTCCCCTCCCTCACGACCCTCTCCCCTCCCTCACGACCCTCTCCCCTCCCTCACGGCCCTCTCCTCCCCCTCACGGCCCTCTCCCCTCCCTCACGTCCCTCTCCCCTCCCTCACGGCCCTCTCCTCCCCCTCACGGCCCTCTCCCCTCCCTCACGACCCTCTCCCCTCCCTCACGACCCTCTCCCCTCCCTCACGGCCCTCTCCTCCCCCTCACGGCCCTCTCCCCTCCCTCACGGCCCTCTCCTCCCCCTCACGGCCCTCTCCCCTCCCTCACGTCCCTCTCCTCCCCCTCACGGCCCTCCCCCTCACGGCCCTCTCCCTCACGTCCCTCTCCTCTCCCTCACGTCCCTCTCCCCTCCCTCACGGCCCTCTCCCTCACGGCCCTCTCCCCTCCCTCACGGCCCTCTCCTCCCCCTCACGGCCCTCTCCTCCCCCTCACGGCCCTCTCCTCCCCCTCACGGCCCTCTCCTCTCCCTCACGGCCCTCTCCCCTCCCTCACGGCCCTCTCCTCCCCCTCACGGCCCTCTCCTCCCCCTCACGGCCCTCTCCTCCCCCTCACGGCCCTCTCCTCTCCCTCACGGCCCTCTCCCCTCCCTCACGGCCCTCTCCTCTCCCTCACGGCCCTCTCCTCCCCCTCACGGCCCTCTCCTCTCCCTCACGGCCCTCTCCTCCCCCTCACGGCCCTCTCCTCCCCCTCCTCCCTCAGCCCCGGTGAGTTTGAAGCCTCTCTCACACACGCTTCTCTCTGAGCTGCTCTGTCAGTCCTGAATGTGCTGAGTTTGGTCATGAAGTCTGCGGCGATGGAAGCGGACGCCTGGAACAGTTCGGCATTTCGTCCTGAGGTCTTTCATTAACACTTTTTTGTCTAAAGAGGCCACAAATACATGCAGTGATGGAAGTGTTTCAGAGCCAGGGTTCAAAGTTACATACCCCAGCTTTAGTTTCTACGCATAATACATATAACTGCATATTCTCTGAGCATAAGCATCAAAGCGTTTGTGAATCTAACTTGTGGACGAAACGCCAGACTGAGGCGTCCGGTGAGGGGCCCGCACTCTCTGTCAGCGGCCTCTGTGTGTCCTCTGGGTTGGTGTGTTGGTAGATTTGCAGTGGTGGAGGAGGTTTATTCCTTTTTGCCCTGGCGCTCCGCTGTGTCCATGGCAGCCATGTTCTGCGAGGCGGTGACCAGATGAACCACGGAGATCGCCGATTTGGCCAAGGACACAAGAGCGCACACGAAGAGCAGCGAGTACAGCCATCCTGAAACACACACACGTTCTAACAAGTCCACACCGAAGAGTCAAACCCAAAGCCAAGTCCGAGTCAAGTCCTTAGAACCTTTTATAAAACAAATGTAAGTCATCTTTATTTGGTTAGCACATCTCACAGACAATGGCCACACAATGTCACTTCAACGATCTATTATTCAATGATAATTATTACATTTCTAAATGTTTTGAAACCGTAGAAAAAAAAAGGACAGTGATGATCCTGCTCCTATGGACCAAAGGCTTCTAGGTGTTTTTGCTTTTCCTGTGTTCAAACTGTTGAGACGACTGCTGTTGTGATTTAGGGCCATGCGCAAATATTTAAAACATCTTTTAAACAAATTCGGAAAAAAACCCAATCACAAATCAACACTATCATTACTCTTTTTAGGTTAATTCATTCTTCTCAGCGAAGTATGAGCCACAGCCCCATCTAGTGGCACAGTGGGAGTGGCAGAAGACAGCTGTGTGTCCAGGGAATTGGAAAGCAGAGTGTTTGCACAGAAGGGGTGGGTGGACAGAAGGGGCGGGGCTTACCTGCCGGCTCCTCGATGTGCTGGATGACGTACAGCAGACAGAAGAAGAGCTCGTTCCCAGCACACATGACGAACAGGACGGGCTGGAAGCAACAAGGAAGCTAGTGACTGGAGTACTGCTGATGCTGCAACTACTGCTGCAACTACTACTGCTGCAACTACTACTGCTGCTGCTGCAACTACTGCTGCTGCAACTACTGCTGCTGCTGCTGCTGCTGCAACTACTACTGCTGCAACTACTGCTGCTGCTGCTGCAACTACTGCTGCTGCTGCAACTACTGCTGCTGCTGCAACTACTGCTGCTGCAACTACTGCTGCTGCAACTACTACTGCTGCTGCTACTGCTGCAACTACTGCTGCTGCTGCTGCAACTACTACTGCTGCAACTACTGCTGCTGCAACTACTGCTGATGCTGCTGCTGCTACTGCTGCAACTACTGCTGATGCTGCTGCTGCTACTGCTGCAACTACTGCTGCTGCTGCTACTGCTGCAACTACTGCTGCTGCTGCTGCTGCAGCAACTACTGCTGCTGCTGCTGCTGCTGCTGCAGCAGCAACTACTGCTACTGCTGCTGCTGCAGCAACTACTGCTGCTGCTGCTGCAACTACTGCTGCTGCTGCTGCTGCTGCACTACTGCTGCTGCTGCTGCTGCTACTGCTGCTGCTGCAACTACTGCTGCTGCTGCTGCTGCTGCAACTACTGCTGCTGCTGCTGCTGCTGCTACTGCTGCTGCTGCTGCTGCTGCAACTACTGCTGCTGCTGCAACTACTGCTGCTGCTGCTGCAACTACTGCTGCAACTACTGCTACTGCTACTGCGGCACTAGTACCTTTAAGGTGTAATAAACCCTGCTGTTACTGCTGCCGTTACTAGTGCTGCCGTTACTAGTGCTGCCGTTACTAGTGCTGCCGTTGTTAGTGCTGCCGTTAGTGCTGCCGTTAGTGCTGCCGTTAGTGCTGCCGTTAGTGCTGCCGTTAGTGCTGCCGTTAGTGCTGCCGTTAGTGCTGCCGTTAGTGCTGCCGTTAGTGCTGCCGTTAGTGCTGCCGTTAGTGCTGCCGTTAGTGCTGCCGTTAGTGCTGCCGTTAGTGCTGCCGTTAGTGCTGCCGTTAGTGCTGCCGTTAGTGCTGCCGTTAGTGCTGCCGTTAGTGCTGCCGTTAGTGTGCTAGTGCTGCGTTAGTGCTGCCGTTAGTGCTGCCGTTAGTGCTGCCGTTAGTGCTGCCGTTAGTGCTGCCGTTAGTGTGCTTAGTGCTGCCGTTAGTGCTGCCGTTAGTGCTGCCGTTAGTGCTGCCGTTAGTGCTGCCGTTAGTGCTGCCGTTAGTGCTGCGTTAGTGCTGCCGTTAGTGCTGCCGTTAGTGCTGCCGTTACTGCTGCCGTTACTGCTGCCGTTACTGCTGCCGTTACTGCTGCCGTTACTGTTACTGCTGCCGTTACTGCTGCCGTTAGTGCTGCCGTTAGTGCTGCCGTTAGTGCTGCCGTTAGTGCTGCCGTTAGTGCTGCCGTTAGTGCTGCCGTTAGTGCTGCCGTTAGTGCTGCCGTTAGTGCTGCCGTTAGTGCTGCCGTTAGTGCTGCCGTTAGTGCTGCCGTTATGCTGCTTGCCGTTACTAGTGCTGCCGTTACTAGTGCTGCCGTTACTAGTGCTGCCGTTACTAGTGCTGCCGTTAGTGCTGCCGTTAGTGCTGCCGTTAGTGCTGCCGTTAGTGCTGCCGTTAGTGCTGCCGTTAGTGCTGCCGTTAGTGCTGCCGTTACTGCTGCCGTTACTGCTGCCGTTACTGCTGCCGTTACTAGTGCTGCCGTTAGTGCTGCCGTTAGTGCTGCCGTTAGTGCTGCCGTTAGTGCTGCCGTTAGTGCTGCCGTTAGTGCTGCCGTTATGCTGCCGTTACTGCTGCCGTTACTGCTGCCGTTACTGCTGCCGTTACTGCTGCCGTTACTGCTGCCGTTACTGCTGCCGTTAGTGCTGCCGTTACTGCTGCCGTTACTGCTGCCGTTACTGATGCCGTTACTGATGCCGTTAGTGCTGCCGTTAGTGCTGCCGTTAGTGCTGCCGTTACTGCTGCTGTTACTGCTGCTGTTACTGCTGCCGTTACTAGTGCTGCCGTTAGTGCTGCCGTTAGTGCTGCCGTTAGTGCTGCCGTTAGTGCTGCCGTTACTGCTGCCGTTACTGCTGCCGTTATTGCTGCCGTTGCTGATGCGGCACTAGTACCTTTGAGGTGTAGTAAACCCGCAGGATGGCGTTTCCCGACAGGTCGATGGTCTTGTGACTCGATGAACCTTTTACTGTGGAGCTGAGGAAACAGGAAGTGATGTCATCATTACAGTTTCTATTGTTCTACAGTTCGTTCTACGTCAGGAAAAAGAGGGAGGAGCCTGTTAAGGTGTGGGCGTGTCCAAACCTGTAAGGGGGCGTGTCTTACCTGTGAAGGTGGAGCCAGTGGCTGCTGATGTCGAGACACATGCTAACCTGCAACAGAGAAGAGCAGAGCTAACACTGAGAAGAACAAAACCTGGAGGACCTGGACTTGAATGACCTGGAGGACCAGAAGGAGATGAGGGAGATGAGGGAGGTGAGTTACCTGGAAGAGGAAGGTGTAGCGTGGGTAGAGCAGGGACAGGTTGACCAGCAGACACATGGTGGCACAGCGGTCCGTCAGCATGTCCATCATCGCTCCAAATTTAGTTGCTAAAAAAACAGATGTCACATTTGAGACCAGAGAGAGACCAGAGAGGGACCAGAGAGAGACCAGAGAGAGACCAGAGAGGGACCAGAGAGTGACCAGAGAGAGACCAGAGAGAGACCAGAGAGGGACCAGAGAGAGACCAGAGAGAGACCAGAGAGAGACCAGAGAGGGACCAGAGAGAGACCAGAGAGAGACCAGAGAGAGAGAGACCAGAGAGAGACCAGAGAGAGACCAGAGAGAGAGACCAGAGAGAGAGACCAGAGAGAGGCCAGAGAGAGACCAGAGAGAGACCAGAGAGAGAGACCAGAGAGAGGCCAGAGAGAGGCCAGAGAGAGAGACCAGAGAGAGGCCAGAAGAGGACCAGAGAGGGACCAGAGAGAGACCAGAGAGAGACCAGAGAGAGACCAGAGAGAGACCAGAGAGAGACCAGAGAGAGACCAGAGAGAGACCAGAGAGAGACCAGAGAGAGACCAGAGAGGACCAGAGAGGGACCAGAGAGAGACCAGAGAGAGACCAGAGAGGGACCAGAGAGAGACCAGAGAGAGACCAGAGAGAGACCAGAGAGAGACCAGAGAGAGACCAGAGAGAGACCAGAGAGGGACCAGAGAGAGACCAGAGAGAGACCAGAGAGGGACCAGAGAGAGACCAGAGAGAGACCAGAGAGGGACCAGAGAGAGACCAGAGAGAGACCAGAGAGGGACCAGAGAGAGACCAGAGAGGGACCAGAGAGAGACCAGAGAGAGAGGACCAGAGAGAGACCAGAGAGAGACCAGAGAGAGACCAGAGAGAGAGGACCAGAGAGAGACCAGAGACCAGAGAGAGAGGACCAGAGAGAGACCAGAGAGAGACCAGAGAGAGACCAGAGAGAGAGGACCAGAGAGAGAGGACCAGAGAGAGACCAGAGAGGGACCAGAGGGGGACCAGAGAGGGACCAGAGAGAGACCAGAGAGGGACCAGAGAGAGACCAGAGAGAGAGGACCAGAGAGGGACCAGAGAGAGACCAGAGAGGGACCAGAGGGAGGCCATAAAGAGACCAGAGGGAGGCCATAAAGAGACCAGAGAGGGACCAGAGAGAGACCAGAGAGAGACCAGAGAGAGACCAGAGAGGGACCAGAGAGGGACCAGAGAGGGACCAGAGAGAGACCAGAGAGGGACCAGAGAGGGACCAGAGAGAGACCAGAAAGAGACCAGAGAGGGACCAGAGAGGGACCAGAAAGAGACCAGAGAGGGACCAGAGAGGGACCAGAGAGGGACCAGAGAGAGACCAGAGAGAGACCAGAGAGAGACCAGAGAAAGACCAGAGGGAGGCCATAAAGAGACCAGAGGGGGACCAGAGAGGGACCAGAGAGAGACCAGAGAGGGACCAGAGAGACCAGAGAGAGACCAGAGAGAGACCAGAGAGGGACCAGAGAGGGACCAGAGAGGGACCAGAGAGGGACCAGAGAGGGACCAGAGAGAGACCAGAGAGAGACCAGAGAGAGACCAGAGAGAGACCAGAGAGAGACCAGAGAGAGACCAGAGAGAGACCAGAGAGAGACCAGAGAGAGACCAGAGACCAGAGAGAGACCAGAGACCAGAGACCAGAGAGAGACCAGAGAGAGGACCAGAGAGAGACCAGAGAGAGACCAGAGAGAGACCAGAGAGAGACCAGAGAGAGACCAGAGAGAGACCAGAGACCAGAGAGAGACCAGAGAGAGAGGACCAGAGTCCCACAGACTCACATTGGTTCAGGGCTCGGGCTGCGTGTCCATCGAAGGCGTCCAGCAGAGCGCTCAGCAGGTAGCAGAAGACAGCGGGCCATGGGCAGCAGGGCATCAGCAGGAAGGAGAGGAAGGCCAGGGCAATCCGGGCGTAACCTGGGAGACCAGAGACAGTTAGAGCAGCAAGCGGCTTTGAAGGCCCTGGGGAAAGAGGAGAGAAAGGCCAGGGCAAAATGGGCTGTACCGATGAGTTTTTTATTCATAAATTGAAAGTAAAAAATCTTTTGCTAATTTTAATAAATAATTGCAGTATAACCAGCACAAAATCCGGTTAGAATTCACAGTATCAGCCTTTGATCTTTTGTTTTTAAATCCCCCTCATTATCTGGTGTTGTTGTGTCGAAAATCAGGACAGACTGAGTCGGGTTCAGAAGCACACGTAGTTACAGGTTAAAGGCAGTTTCAGTTTTCACAGAGGTTGTTCAGGTACAGAGTGGTTCCCAAACAGAACAGCTTTTCTCAACAATCACATCACGTCACATCCCAAACCCGAAAGATGATATTATAGTCACAACAACAGGTGCAAAACTGAAGTCGGTATCCCGGAACTAGATGTTATGTCTGCGTTTGTCCCCTGGGTGAAGACACCGACACAGTCTGAGAGACACCGACACAGTCTGAGAGACACCGACACAGTCTGAGAGACACCGACACAGTCTGAGAGACACCGACACAGTCAGTCTGAGAGACACCGACACAGTCTGAGAGACACCGACACAGTCTGAGAGACACCGACACAGTCTGAGAGACACCGACACAGTCAGAGAGACACCGACACAGTCTGAGAGACACGACACAGTCAGTCTGAGAGACACCGACAGTCTGAGAGACACCGACAGTCTGAGAGACACCGACACAGTCTGAGAGACACCGACACAGTCTGAGAGACACCGACACAGTCTGAGAGACACGACACAGTCAGTCTGAGAGACACCGACACAGTCAGCCTGAGAGACACCGACACAGTCAGTCTGAGAGACACCGACACAGTCTGAGAGACACGACACAGTCTGAGAGACACCGACACAGTCAGCCTGAGAGACACCGACACAGTCAGTCTGAGAGACACCGACACAGTCTGAGAGACACCGACACAGTCTGAGAGACACCGACACAGTCTGAGAGACACCGACACAGTCTGAGAGACACGACACAGTCTGAGAGACACGACACAGTCTGAGAGACACGACACAGTCTGTCTGAGAGACACCGACACAGTCAGTCTGAGAGACACCGACACAGTCAGTCTGAGAGACACCGACACAGTCTGTCTGAGAGACACCGACACAGTCAGTCTGAGAGACACCGACACAGTCAGTCTGAGAGACCCCGACACAGTCTGAGAGACACCGACACAGTCAGTCTGAGAGACCCCGACACAGTCAGTCTGAGAGACACTGACACAGTCAGTCTGAGAGACACCGACACAGTCTGAGAGACCCCGACACAGTCAGTCTGAGAGACACCGACACAGTCAGTCTGAGAGACACCGACACAGTCTGTCTGAGAGACACCGACACAGTCTGTCTGAGAGACACCGACACAGTCAGTCTGAGAGACACCGACACAGTCTGTCTGAGAGACACCGACACAGTCAGACGCCACATCTTTAGAACCTTTAATCTGTGGGCTAACCACTTCTCACCTGTATTGTGATTACAACAGAACAACCCAGTGTCCATATTCTTTAGACCTGGGACAGGACCAGGGACAGGACCAGGGACAGGACCTGGGACAGGACCAGGGACAGGACCTGGGACAGGACCTGGGACAGGACCTGGGACAGGACCTGGGACAGGACCTGGGACAGGACTTGGGACAGGACCTGGGACAGGACCAGGGACAGGACCAGGGACAGGACCAGGACCAGGACCAGGACCAGGGACAGGACCAGGGGCAGGACCAGGACCAGGACGACAGACTCATGTATGTACAGTCAGTCTCAATCACATTTATTTCTGTGTCTTAATCTGATCTGACTCTTGAAGATAATACACTCAATTTTACTGCTTTGTTCTGAACACTGTAATAACAGTACATTTAAATCTAATCTGTGGCCTTAGAAGCAGGGCTAACCACTGCACACCTGTATTTATGAAATTAGAAGCACGGCTAACCACTGCACAACTGTATTTGATCTTAGAAGCAGGGCTAACTACTGCACACCTGTATTTATGACCTTAGAAGCAGGGCTAACCACTGCACACCTGTATGTATGATCTTAGAAGCAGGGCTAACCACTCGACTCCTGTATTCGTGACCTTTCATCAGGAGCAGACGCAAGGGACATATGTACATCCGGGACATTTTGAATTATAATCTGTGACAGAACAGAGTTTTAGAAGCTTTAGAAGAAACGGGCTCAACATGATCCGTCCTCACCGCGGCGGACAGATACACAACAAACAACAACAACAACAATAATAATAATAACAATAGAGATGATGATGATGATGATGATGATGGTGAGAGTGGGACTGACCGATGAGGTTGGGCACGAACAGGAACACGTTCTCCTCGGACATCGTGACGTGAGCGAAGCCGCGTTTTCAGCAAGAGTCGGAGAAACACGAAACAAACGCAGAAAAACACGAGATTTACGGAGATTTCCTCAGAATCTGGGCAAAAAGTGACGGATGTGACACTTCCTGGATACGTCAGTCAATGACGTCACGGAATAACGAGCTTCCGGTCTGGCCCTTCAGAATAAAAGGATGCTCCACACAAGACACTTCAGAGTCAGCGTGAGTTCAGGACTTGATTGTGAAAGCTGTACGTCATCTATAACGTTGGTTGGATCAGAATACATAAAAATACCCATCTTCATATTCAATGTATTTATGTATCAGAGCAGTCGTCTCGGAGGACTGCTGTTAGGTCAGAGAATCAGACAGACTCGGGCTGTAGACCCAGGACTCGGGCTGTAGACCCAGGACTCGGGCTGTAGACCCAGGACTCGGGCTGTAGACCCAGGACTCGGGCTGTAGACCCAGGACTCGGGCTGTAGACCCAGGACTCGGGCTGTAGACCCAGGACTCGGGCTGTAGACCCAGGACTCGGGCTGTAGACCCAGGACTCGGGCTGTAGACCCAGGACTCAGGCTGTAGAACCAGGACTCAGGCTGTAGACCCAGGACTCAAGAGTGATCATCTCACAAACACATCTAAAACCTCTTAAAAAAAATAAAATAAAAAGGTTTAGTGTCCTGGACCAAAGCCAGAATGAGGCTTAGTGTTCACTCATGTTTGTGCTCCTCATTCTGTTCTGACTTGGGAGGCAACACTGACATTTCCCCTCTGAGGGATGAAGCAGGAGATTATTGATTTGAACATAATCTGGAGCCAGTTTCCTTAATATGGGCCTTAAAGTTGGAGTCACTGACATGTGACAGGATGAGATTCTGAATCCATCCCACAGACTGAATACAGACGGACAATGCTAACCCGATAGCTCCACGAAGCCCAGTAGGGAAATGCTCATGGCGAAGTTTGGCTCCCATTGACTTACATGTAAAAGTAAACTAGTTCAGTAACCGTTTGTGTTACAGTCTACATTTTGGGCTTTACACATCTATCAAATTCTACATTTAGAAAGTGAATTCAAGATTTCAAAAAAACCAGAGACGCAGAACCACATTTGGGAATTATTTATTGGACGATATCTGTAACTTTTGAGCCAAAACTGTGAAAAACAAAATATAAACATGAACAAATGGCTTGAGTCCAGGAATGCTCCAAACACTAAAATAAAAAACAGAATAATAATTATTGGCAAAAGTCGTGTGACGACAGAACCGCTGCGTCCACCAGGGGGCGAGGTAGTGCGGCGTGGTTCAACCCAAACTGTGCAAAACAACTTCCAACAGTGTCTCATCCAAAACATATTTACACAAACCAAAATGTGGAAACCAGCGGCAGACACCGTGCCTTTACAAAGCACCAGAAGCCGCAGTTTGGTGCTGATCAAAGCGGTCGGAGAGATCTGGTCTCGGGGTCTCGTCACTAAGAGGCGGTGTGTGAGTAAACTGCTCTCACGCAGACTCTCGGTAAACCTGACACACGTTTACTTTGTTCTCGCTCAGATCCACAGCGTTCATGATTCCAGTCACACATTTGTGATTTAACGTTTCCCTTTGCTCTTAAATGCACCTCTGCCTCCTGTCTCATAGGGATCCAGCCTCACATTCTCACACATTAGACCATACAGAGAGACAGAGACAGAGAGAGAGATCAGATTGAGACAGACGGAGAGACAAAGACCAGAGAGAGACACTGAGACCAGAGAGAAAGACACTGAGAAACCAGAGAGAGAGAGAGAGAGAGACTGAGAAACCAGAGAGAGAGAGAGAGACTGAGAAACCAGAGAGAGAGAGAGACTGAGAAACCAGAGAGAGAGAGAGACTGAGAAACCAGAGAGAGAGAGAGACTGAGACCAGAGAGAGAGAGAGACTGAGAAACCAGAGAGAGAGAGACTGAGACCAGAGAGAGAGAGAGAGACTGAGAAACCAGAGAGAGAGAGAGACTGAGACCAGAGAGAGAGAGAGAGACTGAGAAACCAGAGACAGAGAGACTGAGAAACCAGAGAGAGAGAGAGAGAAACTGAGAAACCAGAGAGAGAGCGAGAGAGACCAGAGAGAGAGAGTGAGAGAGACCAGAGAGAGAGAGTGAGAGAGAGAGACAGACACAATCACTAGTGCTTTGTAAACACACTCTCACTGGCACCGGAAATGAAAACGTTGCCGCGCTAACGAGCGGTTGACGCGGACATGAAAGCGTTGACACGGTAACACTGGCGCGACACGGACACCCCTGAGGCTTCTGGGAAACGTAGTCCACAGTCCTGTAACGGGAAGCCACGCCCCTTTGTCACCGGGAGAAAAACACTGATTATGGTTTTAAGGATTTTGGACCTGAAAGTTTCATGTTTGAGTCTGTGTGGAGCCATTGATCAGACGACCTCCTTTTCTCACTGTTTAACACTTTTCTGGATCAGTAACGTAGGATTCAGCAGCGTCGCACACATATTTTGGCACAAAAGTAAAATAAAAATAATAAAAATACTGCTTTCGTGATCAACTGCTATGTCGGCACTTTGGAGACTCAAATACTTTAGATTCTCTTTTTTCCATGTTCCAACACTCGTCACAGACCTGCAGCTGTGTTTACCTCCATCTACACCAACATCAGGAACGTCCTGCATACACCTCCCCCCACCCCTTCTGTATAAAAGCTCCCTTTTCAAACTCATTTCATTGTGATGAATCAACTCTACACCGCACTGTCAGACATGCCATTATAAAAAGATCAAAAACACTTTTACCACACTCATCAACAGAAGAGGAGGCAAGAGGAGAGAAGGAGAGAGGAGGCAAGAGGAGAGAAGGAGAGAGGAGGCAAGAGGAGAGAAGGAGAGAGGAGGCAAGAGGAGAGAAGGAGAGAGGAGACAAGAAGAGAGAAGGAGAGAGAGGAGGCAAGAGGAGAGAGGAGGCAAGAGGAGAGAAGGAGAGAGGAGGCAAGAGGAGAGAAGGAGAGATAGAGGAGGTAAGAAGAGAGATAGAGGAGGTAAGAAGAGAGGAGAAAGAGCAGATATAGAGACAAGATTTATCGGTTTCTGGATTGTGGGGACAGCAGTGACAATTAATGCACTTTAAGTCAAAAACTGCTTAAAAAAAGTAACATTTGTCTGGTTTTAATCTTGTAAAATGTGAAAATAAAAGTTTCCAATTGGACAAACTAGACAATAGTCCTGTTATTGTAGAGGTTCTCAGTTAAAACGAGGACAGAAACGTGCGTCTCGTAAAACGTAACTCTTATATTTGCAGTGTGTCATTGATTCATTTGAACCGGTTTAGTGTTTTTCTCACAGATCAAAAACTCATTAAAACCATTTGAATATAAAGGGGCGTGGCTTCCGTACGCTCTCCTCACAGTAACATACTCCCCCTAGTGGTCAAATACATCTCTTTAAAAAACTAAAAATCTGAAACAGCTTTTTCTGGAGCAGAGAACGAACGCACTGAAACTTGTTTGGATTCTAAAACAGAGCTGAGGGAGGAGCTGCAGCGGGAGACGTTTAATCCATCCCAACCCACACACTAATCTCACTCCGTCTCATGGTTTATGGTGTTTGGGGGTTACAGCTGGTTTATGGTAATAGTGCTCATGTATTGACCTGTTTTTAAGCAGGAAATCTCCCGCGAGTCCTCGTCCCATAGGGGAGGAAACTATTGCACATTTTTATAGTGGTAAAGGAGGAAATCTATGTGGGCACATAGAGAACATGCAAACGCCTGGACAGGGACTCAAACCCAGGTGCTTCGTGCTGTGACGCAACTGCATCAGATTGTACAATCGCAGGCCTCGAACTTGATTAAGTTCCCCAGGGAACCAACTTGGAACCATAACTTTTTAGGCTTTTCTGTTGAACTAAAGTCTCCATCTGAGGGGACATGAACTTCTCTGGTCTCCACTCACTGGCCGCTCTCTCTCTTACGGGCTTCTCTTTCTCTACTTCTCTCTGGCTGCTCTCTCACTCTCGCTTGCTGGCCTGTTTCTCGCCCTCTCTCTGGTCTCCTCTTGCTGGCTTCTCTCACTGGCCTCTCTCAGGTCTCCTCCTCTCACTGGCCTGTCTCTCAGGTCTCCTCCTCTCACTGGCCTGTCTCTCAGGTCTCCTTCTCTCACTGGCCTCTCTCAGGTCTCCTTCTCTCACTGGCCTGTCTCTCAGATCTCCTCCTCTCACTGGCCTGTCTCTCAGGTCTCCTTCTCTCACTGGCCTGTCTCTCAGGTCTCCTCCTCTCACTGGCCTGTCTCTCAGATCTCCTCCTCTCACTGGCCTCTCTCAGGTCTCCTTCTCTCACTGGCCTGTCTCCAGGTCTCCTTCTCTCACTGGCCTGTCTCTCAGGTCTCCTTCTCTCACTGGCCTGTCTCTCAGGTCTCCTTCTCTCACTGGCCTCTCTCTCAGCCTGTCCTAGTCTCCTTCTCTCACTGGCCTGTCTCTCAGGTCTCCTTCTCTCACTGGCCTGTCTCTCAGGTCGTCTCCTCTCACTGGCCTGTCTCTCAGGTCTCCTCTCACTGGCCTGTCTCTCAGGTCTCCTCTCACTGGCCTGTCTCTCAGGTCTCCTCCTCTCACTGGCCTCTCTCAGGTCTCCTCCTCTCACTGGCCTCTCTCAGGTCTCCTTCTCTCACTGGCCTCTCTCAGGTCTCCTCCTCTCACTGGCCTGTCTCTCAGGTCTCCTCCTCTCACTGGCCTGTCTCTCAGGTCTCCTTCTCTCACTGGCCTGTCTCTCAGGTCTCCCTCTCACTGGCCTGTCTCTCAGGTCTCCTCCTCTCACTGGCCTCTCTCAGGTCTCCTCCTCTCACTGGCCTCTCTCAGGTCTCCTCCTCTCACTGGCCTCTCTCAGGTCTCCTTCTCTCACTGGCCTCTCTCAGGTCTCCTCCTCTCACTGGCCTGTCTCTCAGGTCTCCTTCTCTCACTGGCCTCTCTCAGGTCTCCTTCTCTCACTGGCCTCTCTCTCTGGTCTCTTGCTGGTCTTCCCATAGCCCTCCCCCTCTGTAGATGTATTTTACAGTGTATGCACGGCATTTGACAGCTGCAGCAGCGCTCAGACCTACAACTAAGATATCTGTGCGACTGCACTTCAGCAGTCGTGAGTTCATGTGATTAGAAAAGTATATAAAGTGTGAGGAGTTTTACAGCCTTAAACATACAGCTGCTACTTCAAGGATTTATGTTATTGTGGCTAATTTAACGAACAAATCACCCCTGCCATAAACCAGAACACCGATTCAAAACTAAAAGTAAACTAGTTTCCGGCGCGTTCTCTCTCCGCTCCGCACACATGAACTATTCTGCAGTAGTAGATATACTGTTTCCCTATTGGACGACTATATTCATATCATAATAATGGCGTTTTACAGCTTCTGTAAACCTCCGCAATGGCCTTTTTTTCGTATATTTTTACATAAATATTTGAAGTCTGTACACACTTGCTGCACTCAAAGGAGCGGCTCCAAAACGCACAGAAAAACAAATGAAAAAATACTGTTGTAGTCTTGCGTGCGTCTGGAGCCGCTCGCCACCGGCTCCCCCTTATGGCAGTGTCATGGACCTCGCAGAAACAGAAAGATCTAAGTTATTTATTTAAAATCTTACTTTGAAATGATATTATATACACGTTATTTACACGCTTTGATGGATGTGCAACGACTTCAGAATAAAAACGACCAAAATCTCACGTTTTACAATCTCCCGGAAGTTAAGAAGAATGAGAGAAGTTTACTACTGAAACACGTGGAAGAGACGAGCACTTGTCGTCGGGTCTGGAGCGGATCGTTCTAGAAGCAGAAAATACAGTTCTCTACGGCAAACCAAAAGGATCAAAAGGAAGAATATCAAAGGAAAAGTGTAGATTTTCAGCCAAATGGAAGTGACGCATTCACAGAATCAAAGAGTTGGAGCAAAAGAGATGAACTGCTGTAGATATGTATCTGCCTGACGCTAAAATGGAAAACCTCTCGTTTGTCAATACAGAATGTGAAGGTTCAACAAAAATCCATTTAAATGTGAATCAATGTTAAAAAAATGTCGTCCATGGTATGCAATATGTTTCACTGAACTGACGATGGACTAATTCTTAAAAACATAGATTTACGTTGTTTTAAAACTTTTTTGAAAACGCTCACATCATACAACCAAACAAAGAGCGACTTTACACAATCTCATTAAAAAAAAGGCCGTTACGTAGTTTATATCGGTTCTGAATCTTGACAATTTTTAAATATGGGACATTAATATACAACTATACAATAATCTGCTGCAGATATTGGCCATGTCTTGTTCAGTCCATTGGGTTTAGTATCGCTCCATTTGAAAACCACTGGACGATAGTTTAAATGTTGTAAACGTTGGTTTAACCTTATGCCAAACAGAACGGACTAAAAAGTGAATTGTTATTGGGTCGCCTCGCGGATCGGTCACTCCTTAAGGCGGACTCCGGTGCGGAAGACTTAGGGAACAGTTGGTCCGAGCTCAGATTTGTGAATGCACCACTTCTGCACTTGGGCTGAACCTCAGACCTACAGTTTTGACGATTCCCCCCCCCACCCTCGCCTTCACGAGGGCCATGTGACCAGGACAGGCGTATATTTCAGACCGGCCAAAGCCCACCTGCTCCTCAGTCTCTGGTTCTGAAGTTAAGTCCCACTCATTTCCCCAGAGTTTGGAAACATCCACATATTCTCTGTGCGGTCTCCTGTACACAGCACTTTGGTTCAAGCTTCGTGTCATTACTCACAGCTGATTGGAGCTGACTCGATCTGAAGTCGCTTTAACACGTACTGTATATGAGAGTATTTGGGAATCCTCTGGGGAAACTGAACAGGACTTGGGACTCCAGAACCCGGCAGGAGGATAGACCTCTGCAGCCTCAGCTCTCCCTTCATGAGTAGGACAAGTGCGATCCGTTGGACATGTGCGAGGTCACAGAGGTGCTGCGGCTCAAGCCTGGCTCGCCGCTCTGCCCCCCGGAGGCCGTCCTGCGTAATGGTGTGGGGCTGTTCCTCAGTGCGTGCGTGCGACCGTAGCCCCCTCCGTGCTGGGAGACGTGTGGCGTGGCGTGGGCCCAGTCCTGGCTGCGATCGCTGCGGTCGGCGCGCTCCGACTCGTGGAAGAGTTGAGGCGTGCTCTGGTGGTGGCTGTAGTACTGCGGCTGGGAGGAGGAAGAGGAGGAGGAGGAAGAGGAGGCGCGGCTCTTCATCTCCTCGCGTTGGTAGTCCCGGCTGTACTTCAGCTCGTCACGTGTGTACTTGAGCTCTTGCGGCGAGTATCGGTCGCTGTATTCGCTGTTCTGGCGATACTTCTCCAGCTGAGCGTACCTCTGCTCCTGCGTGTACCTCTGCTCTGGAGTTCCCATGTACCTCTGGTCTTGGCTCCCGGTATACCTCTGGTCTGGAGTTCCCATGTACCTCTGGTCTTGGCTCCCAGTATACCGTGACTCTTGAGCTCTAGAATACCTCGGGTCTTCGGCCCCAGGATATCTCTGGTCCGGAGTTCCAGGATACCTCTGGTCTTGGGTTGCAGTATACCTCTGGTCTTGTGTAGACCCAGTGTACCTAGGAAAAAAAACAATATTTAGTAGGAATGTGATAAGATTTACAAGTATTTGGTTTAGAAGTATCTCATGGCCATAAGACCATGACCTGTGGTGCGCCACAGGGGTCGATCCTGGGACCTCGTCTGTTCAGTCTCTACATGGAGCCATTAGGTCAGTTATGTAACGGTCTTACAGGAGGACCTGTGGACTCACTTCTTCATTGCATCCAACAGATAAGCGAGTAGATTATGAACACGACTCCTCTGTCACCTCTAGTCTCCTTCTAATCAAGTCAGAAATCTTGGCGTAATAACAGACTCAGACTACTGTATTTACTGGAGGCACACCGGTGTATAAGCCACGCCACCCTTTTTGTCCACATCTAATATAAGCCGCAGGTTCATGTTGTGATGTAGTATTTTTCTGCTCGAGCCGAGAGGATAAACACTTAAACCAGTGTCTTAACTGGTGACCAGTTAAACCAGACACTGTTTAACTGGTCACAAAATGATTAAATGACGAGGTGTTTTAACAGGGTCGGCACTAGATATACGGAAACGGAAGTAATAATCCTACTTTCAAATTAGTTTTAGACTAAAAAGTCCTTAAGTGGTGACTGGTTAAGTTTAGGGTTAAGGCTGGGTTGGGGTTATTTTATGGGAACCCGGCCGTCCCTCCAAACTTTCATCTCAAACAAGGAGAAGACTGATCAGAGATGCAGCCAAGAGGCCCATGATCACTCTGGATGAACTGCAGATAACTACAGCTGAGGTGGGAGAGTCTGTCCATAGGACAACAATCAGTCGTGCACTGCACAAATCTGGCCTTTATGGAAGAGTGGAAAGAAGAAAGCCATTTCTCAAAGATATCCATAAAAAGTCTCGTTTAAAGTTTGCCACAAGCCACCTGGGAGACACACCAAACATGTGGAAGAAGGTGCTCTGGTCAGATGAAACCAAAATCGAACTTTTTGGCCACAATGCAAAACGATATGTTTGTCGTAAAAGCAACACAGCTCATCACCCTGAACACACCATCCCCACTGTCAAACATGGTGGTGGCAGCATCATGCTTTGGGCCTGCTTTTCTTCAGCAGGGACAGGGAAGATGGCTAAAATTGATGGGAAGATGGATGGAGCCAAATACAGGACTATTCTGGAAGAAAACCTGTTGGAGTCTGCAAAAGACCTGAGACTGGGACGGAGATTTATCTTCCAACAGGACAATGATCCAAAACATAAAGCCAAATCTACAATGGAATGGTTCACAAATAGACGTATCCAGGTGTTAGAATGGCCAAGTCAAAGTCCAGACCTGAATCCAATCGAGAATCTGTGGAAAGAGCTGAAGACTGCTGTTCACAAACGCTCTCCATCCAACCTCACTGAGCTCGAGCTGTTTTGCAAGGAAGAATGGGCAAGAATTCCAGTCTCTCGATGTGCAAAACTGATAGAGACATACCCCAAGCGACTTGCAGCTGTAATTGCAGCAAAAGGTGGCGCTACAAAGTATTAGCGCAAGGGGGCCAAATAATATTGCACGCCCCACTTTTCAGTTTATTTGTTAAAAAAGTTTACATTTTCCAATACATTTTGTTCCACTTCACGATTGTGTCCCACTTGTTGTTGATTCTTGACAATTTTTTTGTTATAGCTTTATGTTTGAAGCCTGAAATGTGGCGAAATGTTGAAAGGTTCAAGGGGGCCGAATACTTTTGCAAGGCACTGTATGTGTGTTATATAGATGTCTGTACGACCTCTCTCTGTATGTGTGTTATATAGATGTCTGTACGACCTCTCTCTGTATGTGTGTTATATAGATGTCTGTACAACCTCTCTCTGTATGTGTGTTATATAGATGTCTGTACGACCTCTCTGTATGTGTGTTATATAGATGTCTGTACGACCTCTCTCTGTGTGTGTTATATAGATGTCTGTACGACCTCTCTCTGTATGTGTGTTATATAGATGTCTGTACGACCTCTCTGTATGTGTGTTATATAGATGTCTGTACGACCTCTCTCTGTATGTGTGTTATATAGATGTCTGTACGACCTCTCTGTATGTGTGTTATATAGATGTCTGTACGACCTCTCTCTGTATGTGTGTTATATAGATGTCTGTACGACCTCTCTCTGTATGTGTGTTATATAGATGTCTGTACGACCTCTCTCTGTATGTGTGTTATATAGATGTCTGTACGACCTCTCTCTGTATGTGTGTTATATAGATGTCTGTACGACCTCTCTCTGTATGTGTGTTATATAGATGTCTGTACGACCTCTCTCTGTATGTGTGTTATATAGATGTCTGTATGACCTCTCTCTGTATGTGTGTTATATAGATGTCTGTACGACCTCTCTCTGTATGTGTGTTATATAGATGTCTGTACGACCTCTCTCTGTATGTGTCTTATATAGATGTCTGTACGACCTCTCTCTGTATGTGTGTTATATAGATGTCTGTACGACCTCTCTCTGTATGTGTGTTATATAGAATGTCTGTACGACCTCTCTCTGTATGTGTGTTATATAGATGTCTGTACGACCTCTCTGTATGTGTGTTATATAGATGTCTGTACGACCTCTCTCTGTATGTGTGTTATATAGATGTCTGTACGACCTCTCTCTGTATGTGTGTTATATAGATGTCTGTACGACCTCTCTCTGTATGTGTGTTATATAGATGTCTGTACGACCTCTCTCTGTATGTGTGTTATATAGCTGTCTGTACGACCTCTCTCTGTATGTGTGTTATATAGATGTCTGTACGACCTCTCTCTGTATGTGTGTTATATAGATGTCTGTACGACCTCGCTGTGTGTGTTATATAGATGTCTGTACGACCTCTCTGTATGTGTGTTATATAGATGTCTGTACGACCTCTCTGTATGTGTGTTATATAGATGTCTGTACGACCTCTCTCTGTATGTGTGTTATATAGATGTCTGTACGACCTCTCTCTGTATGTGTGTTATATAGATGTCTGTACGACCTCTCTCTGTATGTGTGTTATATAGATGTCTGTACGACCTCTCTCTGTATGTGTGTTATATAGATGTCTGTACGACCTCTCTCTGTATGTGTGTTATATAGATGTCTGTACGACCTCTCTCTGTATGTGTGTTATATAGATGTCTGTACGACCTCTCTCTGTATGTGTGTTAAATAGATGTCTGTACGACCTCTCTCTGTATGTGTGTTATATAGATGTCTGTACGACCTCTCCCTGTATGTGTGTTATATAGATGTCTGTACGACCTCTCTCTGTATGTGTGTTATATAGATGTCTGTACGACCTCTCTCTGTATGTGTGTTATATAGATGTCTGTACGACCTCTCTCTGTATGTGTGTTATATAGATGTCTGTACAACCTCTCTCTGTATGTGTGTTATATAGATGTCTGTACAACCTCTCTCTGTATGTGTGTTATATAGATGTCTGTACGACCTCTCTGTATGTGTGTTATATAGATGTCTGTACGACCTCTGTGTGCGTTATATAGATGTCTGTACGACCTCTCTGTATGTGTGTTATATAGATGTCTGTACGACCTCTCTCTGTATGTGTGTTATATCGATGTCTGTACGACCTCTCTCTGTATGTGTGTTATATAGATGTCTGTACGACCTCTCTCTGTATGTGTGTTATATAGATGTCTGTACGACCTCTCTCTGTATGTGTGTTATATAGATGTCTGTACGACCTCTCTCTGTATGTGTGTTATATAGATGTCTGTACGACCTCTCTCTGTATGTGTTATATAGATGTCTGTACGACCTCTCTGTATGTGTGTTATACAGATGTCTGTACGACCTCTCTCTGTATGTGTGTTATATAGATGTCTGTACGACCTCTCTCTGTATGTGTGTTATATAGATGTCTGTACAACCTCTCTCTGTATGTGTGTTATATAGATGTCTGTACGACCTCTCTCTGTATGTGTGTTATATAGATGTCTGTACGACCTCTCTGTATGTGTGTTATATAGATGTCTGTACGACCTCTCTGTATGTGTGTTATATAGATGTCTGTACGACCTCTCTGTATGTGTGTTATATAGATGTCTGTACGACCTCTCTCTGTATGTGTGTTATATAGATGTCTGTACGACCTCTCTCTGTATGTGTGTTATATAGATGTCTGTACGACCTCTCTCTGTATGTGTGTTATATAGATGTCTGTACTACCTCTCTCTGTATGTGTGTTATATAGATGTCTGTACTACCTCTCTCTGTATGTGTGTTATATAGATGTCTGTACGACCTCTCTGTATGTGTGTTATATAGATGTCTGTACGACCTCTGTATGTGTTATATAGATGTCTGTACGACCTCTCTGTATGTGTGTTATATAGATGTCTGTACGACCTCTCTGTATGTGTGTTATATAGATGTCTGTACGACCTCTCTCTGTATGTGTGTTATATAGATGTCTGTACGACCTCTCTCTGTATGTGTGTTATATAGATGTCTGTACGACCTCTCTCTGTATGTGTGTTATATAGATGTCTGTACGACCTCTCTCTGTATGTGTGTTATATAGATGTCTGTACGACCTCTCTCTGTATGTGTGTTATATAGATGTCTGTACGACCTCTCTCTGTATGTGTCTTATATAGATGTCTGTACGACCTCTCTCTGTATGTGTGTTATATAGATGTCTGTACGACCTCTCTCTGTATGTGTGTTATATAGATGTCTGTACGACCTCTCTCTGTATGTGTGTTATATAGATGTCTGTACGACCTCTCTCTCTGTGTGTGTTATATAGATGTCTGTACAACCTCTCTCTGTATGTGTGTTATATAGATGTCTGTACGACCTCTCTCTGTATGTGTGTTATATAGATGTCTGTACGACCTCTCTGTATGTGTGTTATATAGATGTCTGTACGACCTCTCTCTGTATGTGTGTTATATAGATGTCTGTACGACCTCTCTCTGTATGTGTGTTATATAGATGTCTGTACGACCTCTCTCTGTATGTGTGTTATATAGATGTCTGTACGACCTCTCTGTATGTGTGTTATATAGATGTCTGTACGACCTCTCTGTATGTGTTATATAGATGTCTGTACGACCTCTCTGTATGTGTGTTATATAGATGTCTGTACGACCTCTCTCTGTATGTGTGTTATATAGATGTCTGTACGACCTCTCCCTGTATGTGTGTTATATAGATGTCTGTACGACCTCTCTCTGTATGTGTGTTATATAGATGTCTGTACGACCTCTCTCTGTGTGTTATATAGATGTCTGTACAACCTCTCTCTGTATGTGTGTTATATAGATGTCTGTACAACCTCTCTCTGTATGTGTGTTATATAGATGTCTGTACGACCTCTCTCTGTGTGTGTGTTATATAGATGTCTGTACGACCTCTCTCTGTATGTGTGTTATATCGATGTCTGTACGACCTCTCTCTGTATGTGTGTTATATAGATGTCTGTACGACCTCTCTCTGTATGTGTGTTATATAGATGTCTGTACGACCTCTCTCTGTATGTGCGTTATATAGATGTCTGTACGACCTCTCTCTGTATGTGCGTTATATAGATGTCTGTACGACCTCTCTCTGTATGTGTTATATAGATGTCTGTACGACCTCTCTCTGTATGTGTGTTATATAGATGTCTGTACGACCTCTCTCTGTATGTGTGTTATATAGATGTCTGTACGACCTCTCTCTGTATGTGTGTTATATAGATGTCTGTACGACCTCTCTCTGTATGTGTGTTATATAGATGTCTGTACGACCTCTCTCTGTATGTGTGTTATATAGATGTCTGTACGACCTCTCTCTGTATGTGTGTTATATAGATGTCTGTACGACCTCTCTCTGTATGTGTGTTATATAGATGTCTGTACGACCTCTCTCTGTGTGTGTTATATAGATGTCTGTACAACCTCTCTCTGTATGTGTGTTATATAGATGTCTGTACGACCTCTCTCTGTATGTGTTGTGATGGCAAGCGACTAGTATTCATATCTCCCTGCTCCAGGAAGGAGCAACTCTGCCTGGTTCTATTCATATGTCCCTGCTTCAGGAAGGAACCGGGTCCCCCGACACCTACAGACAATGGCGTAAATCACTGTCTCACTCTCGCCCCCCTTTCGCCTCTTGCATATCTATCGGTCTGTATGTGTGCATTTTCTACATCCTGCTTCTCGTCACACCCTTGTGTCTTTCGCGTCTGCATCTGTATGACCTGCATTTTCTACCATTGTCTGTCTGTTCGCACCTACATCCCCAGGCGCCTCCTCACCGGTGGCCCCCCTCCCATTCTGTTGTGGGCGGGACTGTCTTTCGTGTGTGTCTGTATACAGGAAACTCGGAGCTCTGCTTCAGAGCTTCAGCATGGCAATAGCCCAAGAAATGGAGTTCCCTTGTTCATAACAATAGTCTGTAGGAATAACAACTTTCTTACTAATGTATATAAACTGTTTCTGAAGAAGTGTGTGAAAATGGAGGGTGCTGGACTGATAATTCAATTAAATTTATTTTTGTATCGCCCCAAAATCACTAAAGCCAGTAGTATTTTGTTTGATTACCTGATCTTGGTGTTGTTGTGATATTCAACGGTTTTGTTAAAGTCCTCGAGATTACTGCTGTGGGATTGGATTTAGGGCTTTATAAAATATTTATTTATTTTTTTTATTTATTGATTTGAATGGACAGTTGCATTTCACAATGATAAGACCTCTTTAGATAAATGAATGTAAACTTGCCAGATTATAGCAATGGGCTCGATTTCCATCTGTAGTCCCATCCCCCAATTGAATTGAGTTTGTCTATTGTCTAGTACAAGTAGACAAACTCAATATGTTAGGATGTATGGTGTGATTAGGGTAAGAGATTGTGAGGGTGATGGAATGTGAACATGTGAACCTGCAATGTAACCTTACAATAAAATAACTATTCAGATGATCAGTGTACTTTGCATCAGATGGGCTGAAACAAAATGGTACAAGTTAAATTACAAAATTTATACAAAAAAAAGATTGAAAAAAAAATAGGAAAAGAATTAAACAGTTTTGGAACAATTGAGACTTTGTTGGGAGTCCACTGTATTAACCTAAATTACCAGTAATGATAGGTTATTTGGTGTGTAGCTCTAAGGGTGTTGCCATTGGTCAAATTTGCATCTGGTTGTCCCGCACTCACAATGTCATATGTCAGGTTTGTTTGTTTAGCAAATTTAAACACCTGCTCCCCAAAGGGCTCTTCAGTCCCGAAAGATAAACATAAAAGCTTACATCATAAAATCATACAAATAACATGTAAAAAGTATTACTTTTGTTGGGGTTAAAAAGGTGTTAAAAACATTTTTTGATTAGATTTAAAATCCTCAAAACACTAATTCATTTAAGAATAGTGAACTTTATTTGTCCCAAGCTGGGAACATTTCGAAGGATTGTAGATGTTTTTTAGTGGTAGCCCAATGAAACCGCTGTACCTAGGATTGGAACCTTTGCAGTCATGGGGACTCCATGTAAGGGAAGGCATCAAACTGTGGCCTTTCTTTGTTGTGAACACGAGTGATTAACTACTTTGTTTTTTGGGGACCCAATTCGGGTCTGTGAAAGGCGCTATATAAATAAAGATTACTTATGCTATGTAGTGTGTTGATTTGCATTCTTTGTGATTTCCAAGTTGAGACAAGCCAAAATCTTACATTCCGGTTATGCAATTATTCCCATTGAACGTTTTTATTCCAGAACTAGTTGGAAAAGAGTCAAACATTAATCAGAAAGTGTTTTAGCATTCAATTCGTTTCTGGTCATTCTCGTATAGCCCTATATCACAACAGTTGCTTTCTCTGAGGGAGCTTAACAAAACCGTTGAATTTACAAACACTATTCAGAGAAGTTAACGGTTCAAACGCATGAAGCAATGATTAAAAACCATACAGATGAGAGGGAGCAGTGACCAATGTACATAAATGTTGAGTGTCATGGATCATCACTACTTTCCACCGTTCCTGCCTTGTTGAATGAAGTCTTCGTCAAATAAAAAATGGTTTGTAATGTTTTTTCAGGCACTTTTGGGCGCTTATTCCACGGTGTGATGTGGACGAGGAAAGATCCGTCTAAGAGAAGCATGTCTTTGTCAAGACTGTGAAGGGTCAATGTTGTCATCTGTTGTTAATGTTTTTCATTTCTGTGTGGTTTTTAAAAAATAGTGATGAATCGAGTTTATCCAGGCGGTTTCCATGCAAGTTGGTATCTGTTATGGGTTGATTTTATGTTGTTATGCTGATAATGATCCAAATCAAAATCTTTATTAGCTTAATTAACCAAAGTGTATATAGTGATGTTTGGCAGGTGGGATATTGGACAAAGTAAATATGATCTGTTGCGATATATAGGGCCAATTCATATATAGATGGATATACGTGTGCGAGGTATTACGATTCATGTAAATCTTATTTTTCAAAGGAATATTTCAAAAATTGAGGGAAGAATCAAATGTCACATTTATAATGATCTACATCATTAACCTATTTAACACCCACAGTCTCTGTTTTTTTTCCAAGAGTTTTTTCAGCTTGTAAAAGAACATTTATATGGTCTTCAAAATACCCTCAAAGCTATTCTCTATTTTGAAGATTATTTTCTCATCTAAATTATGATCTAGTGCAGACAAACCAGACTGTTAACTTAAAAGATATAATGCATAATAATGAAGCACAAATTAAAAGTGTAAAATGATGCCACAGCGAGTAAGTATTCCATTGCGTGTCATTTCTTCCGTATATGTCACATGGAAATTGCATTATCCCACTTTTGATTCTGAAAACAATTTAAAATAAAAAAAATATAAGCCAGTATGGAGATTTAATCCTTATATTTGCATTAACTAGATGGCTCTTGCTTTTAAAATGTATATTTCTATCAAGCTTGTGAATGTGTATGTGATATTTTTAAATAGGACATAAACATTTGGGTATGACAAACTTTTGTGAACAAGACTGAAGGGGCAAAAATGTAGGAGGAAAGTGCATTAATCCTTTAGATTGAAATTCAGGACACAGGAACTGAGTCACAAAAAGCAGCATAATAGAGTAACCATAATCTTGGCGTAAACCCCAAAAGTGAAACGGATAATTAACTTGAATTAAATATAGCTATATCTTTTTTTCCCTCACCTCTATTCTATGGTTTTGATCCCTCGTAGATAAATGATTGAGCAGTTTCTTTGGGGTTCTCTTGAATATATTCTATTAGGTTAAATGTTGAGAATTGTGTTGGTGTTGCCTTCTTCACAAACCTCTGATTCTTAATCTTTGATGATGGAGGTCGCCCGTGTGCCGGTCTGTTAGGGCTGTGTTTCCTCAGTACTCAATTCCGATCTGGGACCGTGTTAAACTCTTTCCGCCTGTGTGTCCCGTTCGGGAAGGTGTCAACAATGCGTCTCTCCTCGAGTCGCAGGAAGAGCGGTTAGTCACAGTTTGTTTTTTTCCACTTTCAACACTTTACATTTCGGCACAACAGGAAGCAATTAAAAATCGCTGATAAGGTTGAAGTGTGATTCCGGACTGGTCGAATGTATTTGTCTATTAATTATGGTAGTAAAAGAACAAAGGGCGTCAGTGAAGAGGCATGCGCTAGTATTGCAAACATTGCCCTAGCGAAAAGCCTTACTTTCATGAATTAGGTTTTATTTCCCTCATGCGCAGATTGTTAATACAAGGTGAAACTCCGATTTATTTCTATAATTCTACTTAAATTTGTGAAACTAATGTATTATATAGGACAGGTATGATTGATTAGAATTTGTTTATACCACTGTTTGACTGCCATTTGATTACCAGCTTATTTTCTCATCTTCCCCATGGAAACCTTTTGTACCTTGATTATAGATGAATAAGAAATAATTGGAGCAAACTTATCAACTAAAACAACCAAAGACCGACTGCTTATCACCCAATCTGATTGGTTAGAAGTTGATACCAGGTCAGACAAATCTGCATTGTGAAAAAGAAACCAAACTTGGATTTATTGTGTGTGTATAAGGGATTGGTGAGTAAATTCAAAAAATGATGAAAGCTGTTTAGCATGAGGGACATGGGGAAGACAAAAGACGATGTAACTCAGACTTGCAGGCATTTGTTTTGGAGATTCAATAGACAATGATAAAAACATAACTTTTTGTATATGTGTTTGTAGATCATGCTTCAGACGTGCAGGTGTCATGTTTGTTGACAGAGAGTTGTGTAGCTCCGTGACCTTAATCTCAGGTGAGCGAAAAAATAATCAACAATTACAAAGGATAAGATAGTAATCAAAGATTACCATTACCTCATTCTGTATTCTCGTTGTGATATGGTTTATGGAGCTGTAAAAATGTCCTTTCCTTTTACTTTGGATTTAATTTTTTTGCAAGGAAGGCGGAACAGTAAGATTCATCTGTGTTTTTTTTCTGTTTTATCCAAAAGGGGTCCATGTCATTGAAACCAAGAGTGATCTGTATTTTGACATTGGTCCATAATGTCTTGTTTTTTTTACAGCTGTAGTTCGTTTTTTGGTTTTGTATCCTGACTTTATTTACAGAAACATCCATTTGATAATAAAGCAAAAAAAAAAGGGAATACTATGCTGTTTTACACAGCTGTAAATTACACTTAAACAAAAATTTTAACTTTGAAATTCATGGCTGCTAAGAAGCTTTTAAGTACCAAAACAAAAACCTTTGGATTTATATTTGAGCAAAACCGGTGTGGCACATTATTGGCACAAGTGTGACCAAATAAGGCCAAATGGACACAAGTTTATGTAAAAGGGGCCACTGCATCAAAATATATAACATAGAGGTCTTGAAATTTTGGCAAATGTTGTCACAAAAATAATGACCAAAGGGTCTGTATATTGTGACATTACAATGAAGTATTGTCATTTGTTAGGGGTTTTTTGTGAATTAATAGTTTTGGATGTTATCGATTCCACTTCAAATCAATCAAATTTATTTATAAAGCACAATTCACAGTGTTGCCAATATGCTTCAAATGCAATTTTATGGACAGACAATAATACGTAAAACGGTGTTATACCAATATAAAACATATTGTATAAAAATTGATAAAAGTTTAGAATTTAAAATTAGCTTAAATTTGTTCATATGACATACCTGAAATAAGACTGTTTTACAGCTCTGGAACATAAATAACATTTCCAGGGTCGAGGGCCTGTCTCACAAGTCAGGGAGACTGTTCTAATTTATGGCCGCATGAATTGGAAACGGTGCCTCCCTTAAATTAATCTGACCCTGGTACAGCAGGCGAGGCCAGTCCTGTGCTCTCTCAGGCAGATGGTTTGTATGGCAGTTTACGAATTCATGCATGTGCAATACTTATGTTTTGCACAAGGACTGAGACGAGGGATTTTACATGAGGGTGGCGCTACATGTTTGTGCCAGAAATTCCTGATATTAGCATGGATTGATCTAAACACATCTGCAGGTCTGTGACTGATGAGGAGAAGTGAGTCTCAAGTCGGGTAGTCTTGAGGCCCAGTCTGACCAGTCACACACACTTCGACAGCTCTGGTTCCTCTGTTGCAGAAATGGCAGGACATCATCAAAGAGGTGAAGTTTCTACAGAAGCTCCGTCACCCCAACACCATCGAGTACCGTGGCTGCTACCTCCGAGAGCACACGGCCTGGGTGAGTCCAAAGTGGGATATGTGCCTCTCACCATCAGAGTTAGGGCAGTTGAATACGCTGCTCTTTCCTTCATACATTTGTTTTTTGTTAAATATATGTTGAAATGTGTCTGTATTGCTCCACGTGGCTGAGGAACTTGCTGTAGTGCATTATGTGATTCCCTCTGATCGCTCTCTCTGATCGCTCTCTCTGGTCTCTCTCTGGTCTCTCTCTGATCGCTCTCTCTGATCGCTCTCTCTGGTCTCTCTCTAGTCTCTCTCTGATCGCTCTCTCTGGTCTCTCTCTCGTCTCTCTCTCTGGTCTCTCTCTCTGGTCTCTCTCTGCTCTCTCTCTCGTCTCTCTCTCTCGTCTCTCTCTCTGGTCTCTCTCTGCTCTCTCTCTGGCCTCTCTGGTCTCTCTCTCTGGTCTCTCTCTGGTCTCTCTCTGGTCTCTCACTGGTCTCTCTCTGGTCTCTCTCTGGTCTCTCTGATCGCTCTCTCTGGTCTCTCTCTCTGCTCTCTCTCTGCTCTCTCTCTGCTCTCTCTCTGCTCTCTCTCTGGTCTCTCACTGGTCTCTCTCTGGTCTCTCACTGGTCTCTCACTGGTCTCTCTCTGGTCTCTCTCTGGTCTCTCTCTCTGGTCTCTCTCTAGTCGCTCTGGTCGCTCTCTCTGGTCTCTCTCTCTGATCGCTCTCTCTGGTCACTCTCTGGTCTCTCTCTCTGGTCACTCTCTCTGGTCTCTCTCTCTGGTCTCTCTCTCTGGTCTCTCTCTCTGGTCACACTCTGGTCTCTCTCTCTGGTCACTCTCTCTGGTCTCTCTCTCTGGTCACTCTCTCTGGTCTCTCTTTCTGGTCACTCTCTCTGGTCTCTCTCTCTGATCTCTCTCTGGTCACTCTCTCTGGTCTCTCTGTCACTTTGGCCTCTTGTCTCAGGTCTTTCTTTCTCTCTGGTCTCTCTCTCTGGTCTCTCTCTCTGGTCTCTCTCTCTGGTCTCTCTCTCTGGTCTCTCTCTCTGGTCTCTCTCTGATCGCTCTCTCTGGTCTCTCTCTCTGGTCTCTCTCTGGTCTCTCTCTCTGGTCTCTCTCTGATCGCTGTCTGGTCTCTCGCTGGTCTGTCTCTTTTGTCTCTGGAGTCTCTCTGGTCTCTCGCTCTCTCGTGTGTGTCTCTCTGGTCTCTTTCTCACTCTACTCTCTCTTTCTCTCTCTGGTCTCTCTCGCTCTCTCTCCCTCTCTCTCTCTGGTCTCTGTCTCTTTTGTCTCTGGACTCTCTCTCTGGTCTCTTTCTCTCTCTGGTCTCTCTCGCTCTCTGGTGTGTGTCTCTCTGGTCTCTTTCTCACTCTGGTCTCTGTTTATTTAGTTTCTGGAGTCTCTCTCTGGTCTCTTTCTCTCTGGTCTCTGTCTCTTTTGTCTCTCTCTCTCTCTCTCCCTCTGGTTCTGACGGTCTCCTCTCCCTGACGTCTGTGTTTCAGCTGGTGATGGAGTACTGCCTGGGCTCTGCCTCTGACCTGCTGGAAGGTCAGTGTGTGAATCTGACTTCTGCATGACATTAAACCAGAGCAGTGTGTGGACTGTGTGTGTCTTCTGTGTCCAGTGCATAAGAAGCCGCTCCAGGAAGTGGAGATCGCTGCCATTACCCATGGTGCACTGCTGGGCCTTGCCTACCTACACTCCCACAACATGATCCACAGGTGAACACAGACCCCTTACACACGTGTGACATGTGTTTCTCCCACTGATAGAAACACTCATGCAGACACAGACCTGCTGTTGTTTTTAGCCCCATCCAGTTTCTGAATAGTTTGCCTCTAAACAGTTTTATTATTCACATTCAAAAGTCTCCCGTTCGCTGCTCCACAGACTGCTCCCCCGCCCTCTCCCACTTGCTGTTTGCAGCCGCAGCTTGTGTTATGGATGTGTTATATTTTCTCTGCTTGTGTTGCTTATTGTTCAAGTTTTGAGAAGTAAAGTCTATTTTCTCAAAGTTCTTGCCTGAATTAGATCCTACTTCCCTTGAAGCCATAGACGTGTGTTTCACTGTTTTTGGCAAACGCGCAAAATGTGAGCACAAGTCAGGAAACCTACATATGACGTGTTCTTGCCGCCTGTAAATGTAGATTTGTTATTTGTTGCTCTGCTCTATGAAGAAATGCTTTGTAGATTTATAAATAAAAATATTTTCCAATTCCTTCCTGAAAAGTGTCTAATCTAACCACTGTCAAATATTGATCTGGGAGAACCGGTTGTATATTTCCCAAATGTTGCCTTTCTCTTGGAGTTGTATTGGCAACATGAACACCTGTACTATGCTTCTGTCTCAGGGACGTGAAGGCAGGGAACATCCTCCTGACTGAGCCAGGACAGGTCAAACTGGGAGACTTCGGATCGGCCTCCATCGTGGCTCCAGCCAACTCCTTTGTGGGCACCCCCTACTGGTGAGTGAGCGCTACTGCGTACATGGGAATAATCTCAGGAACACTGTGTAATGTGAGGTCCTCAACACAGGTGTAATGTGAGGTCCTCAACACAGGTGTAATGTGAGGTCCTTGACACAGGTGTAATGTGAGGTCCGTGACACAGGTGTAATGTGAGGTCCGTAACGCAGGTGTAATGTGAGGTCCGTAACACAGGTGTAATGTGAGGTCCTTGACAGAGGTGTAATGTGAGGTCCGTAACACAGGTGTAATGTGAGGTCCGTAACACAGGTGTAATGTGAGGTCCGTAACGCAGGTGTAATGTGAGGTCCGTAACACAGGTGTAATGTGAGGTCCTTGACAGAGGTGTAATGTGAGGTCCGTAACACAGGTGTAATGTGAGGTCCTTGACAGAGGTGTAATGTGAGGTCCGTAACACAGGTGTAATGTGAGGTCCGTAACACAGGTGTAAAGTGAGGTCCGTAATGTGAGGTCCGTAACGCAGGTGTAATGTGAGGTCCGTAACGCAGGTGTAATGTGAGGTCCGTAACACAGGTGTAATGTGAGGTCCTTGACAGAGGTGTAATGTGAGGTCCGTAACACAGGTGTAATGTGAGGTCCTTGACAGAGGTGTAATGTGAGGTCCGTAACACAGGTGTAATGTGAGGTCCGTAACACAGGTGTAAAGTGAGGTCTAACACCGGTGTAATGTGAGGTCCTTGACACAGGTGTAAAGTGAGGTCTAACACACCTCTTCCTGCAGGATGGCTCCGGAGGTGATCCTGGCCATGGACGAGGGTCAGTACGATGGGAAAGTGGACGTGTGGTCTCTGGGCATCACCTCCATCGAACTCGGTACAAACTCATATTTAAAACATTTACAGTGCCTTGTGAAAGTATTCGCCCCCTTGAACCTTTCAACATTTCGCCACATTTCAGGCTTCAAACATAAAGATATAACATTTTAATTTTTTGTCATGAATCAACAAGTGGGACACAATTGTGAAGTGGAATGAAATTTATTGGATAATTTAAACTTTTTTAACAAATAAAAAACTGAAAAGTGGGGCGTGCAATATTATTCGGCCCCTTTACTTTCAGTGCAGCAAACTCACTCCAGAAGTTCAGTGAGGATCTTTGAATGATCCAATATTGTCCTAAATGACTGATGATGATAAATAGAATGCACCTGTGTGTAATCAAGTCTCCGTATAAATGCACCTGCTCTTTGATAGTCTCAGGGTTCTGTTTAAAGCACAGAGAGAACCATGAAGACAAAGGAACACACCAGGCAGGTCCGAGATACTGTTGTGGAGAAGTTTAAAGCCGGATTTGGATACAAAAAGATTTCCCAAGCTTTAAACATCTAAAGGAGCACTGTGCAAGCAATTATATTGAAATGGAAGGAGTATCAGACCACTGCAAATCTACCAAGACCCGGCCGTTCCTCCAAACTTTCATCTCAAACAAGGAGAAGACTGATCAGAGATGCAGAGGCCCATGATCACTCTGGATGAACTGCAGATAACTACAGCTGAGGTGGGAGAGTCTGTCCATAGGACAACAATCAGTCGTGCACTGCACAAATCTGGCCTTTATGGAAGAGTGGCAAGAAGAAAGCCATTTCTCAAAGATATCCATAAAAAGTCTGGTTTAAAGTTTGCCACAAGCCACCTGGGAGACACACCAAACATGTGGAAGAAGGTGCTCTGGGCAGATGAAACCAAAATCAAACTTTTTGGCCACAATGCAAAACGATATGTTTGGCATAAAAGCAACACAGCTCATCACCCTGAACACACCATCCCCACTGTCAAACATGGTGGTGGCAGCATCATGCTTTGGGCCTGCTTTTCTTCAGCAGGGACAGGGAAGATGGCTAAAATTGATGGGAAGATGGATGGAGCCAAATACAGGACCATTCTGGAAGAAAACCTGTTGGAGTCTGCAAAAGACCTGAGACTGGGACGGAGATTTATCTTCCAACAGGACAATGATCCAAAACATAAAGCCAAATCTACAATGGAATGGTTCACAAATAGACGTATCCAGGTGTTAGAATGGCCAAGTCAAAGTCCAGACCTTAATCCAATCGAGAATCTGTGGAAAGAGCTGAAGACTGTTCACAAACGCTCTCCATCCAACCTCACTGAGCTCGAGCTGTTTTTAAAGGAAGAATGGGCAAGAAGTCCAGTCTCTTGACGTGCAAAACTGATAGAGACATACCCCAAGCGACTTGCAGCTGTAATTGCAGCAAAAGGTGGCGCTACAAAGTATTAGCGCAAGGGGGCCGAATAATATTGCACGCCCCACTTTTCAGTTTTTTATTTGTTAAAAATGTTTAAATTATCCAAGAAATTTCGTTCCACTTCACGATTGTGTCCCACTTGTTGTTGATACTTGACAATTTTTTTTTTTTAAATATCTTTATGTTTGAAGCTTGAAATGTGGCGAAATGTTGAAAGGTTCAAGGGGGCCGAATACTTTCGCAAGGCACTGTATATTAGAGTTTGACTATCAGATTCAAGGATTCTTAATTTAAAAAGTATCGGCCTTTCTGGTCAGTACCTGAATAGTTTGAAGTGTTGTGACTCTGCATTGGGGGTTGTATCTTAACATAACATTACTGCACAAACATTTGAATTGCTTGGTCCACAGCCGAGAGGAAGCCCCCCCTCTTCAACATGAACGCAATGAGTGCCTTATATCACATCGCCCAGAACGAGAGCCCAGTGCTGCAGTCCAACCACTGGTGAGACACACACACACTAAAACAAACAAGCACACACAGACACACACACACAGAGAGCCAGTGCTGCAGTCCAACCCCTGGTGAGACACACACAATAAAACAAACAAGCACACACAGACGCACACAAAGAGAGCCCAGTGCTGCAGTCCAACCACTGGTGAGACACACACAATAAAACAAACAAGCACACACAGACACACACACAGAGAGAGCCCAGTGCTGCAGTCCAACCACTGGTGAGACACACACACACTAAAACAAACAAGCACACACAGACACACACACACAGAGAGCCAGTGCTGCAGTCCAACCCCTGGTGAGACACACACAATAAAACAAACAAGCACACACAGACACACACAAAGAGAGCCCAGTGCTGCAGTCCAACCACTGGTGAGACACACACAATAAAACAAACAAGCACACACAGACACACACACACAGAGAGCCAGTGCTGCAGTCCAACCCCTGGTGAGACACACACAATAAAACAAACAAGCACACACAGACACACACAAAGAGAGCCCAGTGCTGCAGTCCAACCACTGGTGAGACACACACAATAAAACAAACAAGCACACACAGACACACACAGACACACACAGCCCAGTGTTGCAGTCCAACCACTGGTGAGACACACACACACACACTCACGCACACTAAAACAAGCACACACAGACACACACAGCCCAGTGCTGCAGTCCAACCACTGGTGATACACACACACTAAAGCAAACAAGCACACACAGACTCACACACACACACTAAAACAAAGAAGCACACACAAGCACACCCAGAGCCCAGTGCTGCAGTCCAACCACTAGAGGGAGGCAGACGCACACATAGAGACAAACTAAAGGAAACTGACAGATCTTGAACGGTCATGTTTTTGCATCCTTGAGCTGCCTGGACATGTTTGGAAGACCTACATGATCATTTTCTCTGAACACATGCATGTTATGATGTGTAATCGTGGCTTTGGCTTTAGGTCGGACTCGTTCCGTAACTTCGTGGACTCATGTCTTCAGAAGATTCCACAGGACCGTCCTACCTCTGACGTGCTGCTGAATGTGAGTGTCTTTATCAGAATGAAAGCTGTCGTCCATCTTTATAAATGTACTTTGGTTTTGATAAAAGCATTCTCAGAATTTCCCCAAAAAAGAACCGTTGCCAGATCTGACCGCTGCTTTTAGCACTACTATGACTTTGTGTTGCAGAGACTGGCTCTAATATTGAAACAAAATAATCTAGTGTCTCCAGATTTTTGAAAGCTTTTTATCTCTGTGTGGAGTGAGAGACAAATGTCCAAAAATAACAATTGTAAACCGCTTTGTGACTCTGGTCTGTGAAAGGCGGTATATAAATAAAGATTACTTACTTCTTATTCATGAGTGAAGAGTCCCGGGTTTTCTATTATGCAGATCCCACTGAGATATGTGGCCAGGACTAGGGCTGGGCAATAAAACAATATCGATATATATTGCGATAGACACGTGTTCGATATCAATAGAAAACAGGGTCGATAGAACTTTAGATAGTTTCACTTCACTCAGTTTGAAATAACAGGAACAAAACACAGGAAGTAAAGCCAAGTCAGAAGCGCACGGCATGGGGGATGTAGGCAGAGACTTCTCGACCAATCGCAGCCGACTACAAACCGCAAAACTTTCTGGGAAATGCAAAAACAACAACCGCACCATGCGTAGCGTCCATGGATCATGGATCTATTATAATAACCATGGATCTAAAGATCGTGTTTCAGAGCCGTGTCAATAGTTATGCACGTCCGTGCGAGGAACAGCATGTGCGGCGGGAGAGGCAGTGGGGACAGAGACTCCATGCATTCGGCAAAAGCAAGAGATTAACTTTCCGGAGCCGTAACGGGGACACAAGACACTCAAACAGCCAAAACAGGAGCTAAACCAGGACTAAACCAGGACTAAACCAGGACTAAACCAGGACTAAACCAGGACTAAACCAGGACTAAACCAGGACTAAACCAGGACTAAACCAGGACTAAACCAGGACTGAACCAGGACTGAACCAGGACTGAACCAGGACTAAACCAGGACTAAACCAGGACTAAACCAGGACTGAACCAGGACTGAACAAGGACTGAACAAGGACTGAACAAGGACTGAACAAGGACTGAACAAGGACTGAACAAGGACTGAACAAGGACTGAACAAGGACTGAACAAGGACTGAACAAGGACTGAACCAGGACTGAACCAGGACTGAACCAGGACTGAACCAGGACTGAACCAGGACTGAACCAGGACTGAACCAGGACTGAACCAGGACTGAACCAGGACTGAACCAGGACTGAACCAGGACTGAACCAGGACTGAACCAGGACTGAACCAGGACTAAACCAGGACTAACTATGGGGGTATGGGGGAGACTGCTTGTAAACATTTGCCTCCAGCCTCAGTCCCCCGTGACTGTAAACAAGGCTGCTAACATGTGTTAGCCGACACGACAAATGTATTTATTTACTTTTTAAAAATAAATTAAAAAACAATCCTAATATGATACTCGTGTATCGAGCCGATATTAAAATTTTACTTATTATTGTTGTTATGGCTGATAACTATATCACAATATATTGCCCAGCCACCCCCAGCCAGGACCCAGGCCAGTCGCAGCAAAGGGTTTTTGTCATCCCAGGCTCAAATGGTACTTTATTTACCTCCCTAGAGCAATGTGTCCTTAGCATTTGACCCAAAATGGTGAGTGTGACACAAACAGTTACTGAACTAGGCAAGGAAAGGCAAGTTTAAGTATAATCGCAGTACATTAACCCTCTATGCACCTGGTTCATTTTGGGGAACTTTCCTCGCCTGGTTTTCTTTGTGTATAATTGTTCATAAAACAGTCATCTTTTGATGCAGAGTCAAGCAGTATACTTTGTTTTTTTCAGTACAACCTGGGGTTTTAGAATATTCATATTGTAAAGCTGTCATATGAATTATATACAAATTATGGAATCACGAAGACAAAGAAAAAAATCAAACGGAAAATCAATTTAACAAAAATGTATTGAAAAAACACAATGAAATGCTATAAACAACTTTTTACACTGCATAGAAATGTTATTTATGGTCTTGGGGATAATGGGGAAAAAAATTGAATCTCTAACTATTATACTTTTTACAAAATTCCACTATAAAAGCAAAAAACTCTGTACTCCTGACGCCCTTCCTGAAGCAGTTTGTCTATAATGCTGGGGTTGCTTCTGTAGCACAGCTGTAAAAAACGTAAAACATAAAAAACTGAGCCAAAAAAAAAAAAACATCAATTATTTATATAATACATATATTTATATACATCATATACACATAATGTAATTTTACTGTATTTATTATCGTCTTTATCAATAATGCGCACTCTTCAGCCGGTTATTGCAATCGCAGCTGTAGTTTCAACTGTGGGAGAACAAGTAAACGCAGAGGAGTGAGACATCTCACTCTCTGATGATCTTTGGCAGTCCCCGTGTGTTTGTATCTCACAGCTGTTTGTACCTCACGGGTCACGCTTTGGACAGACTTTCAGACAAACGTAGTTTATCCTCCGTGCATCGCACAGACAAATCAAAACTAGTTTCGGAAAGCCCTGAATACGTACTTCACAGAGGAAAAAAAAGTAAGTTGCTACGTTTTACCGTTGGCGAGTAAATTAATCATTTGTAAAACATGTGCGCGTGCATCGGCGCCGATGCTTGCGGGCATATAGGGTTAAGAATAGAAATACAAATATATAAAATCCCTCAGTTGTAGCACAGCTAAACAGAACTTTTTGTAACCTGGTTTTAAACATTGTCAGAGAAGAGGCCTGTCTCACACTTTCAAGAAGACTGTTCCAGATTTTAGCAGCATGAATCTGAAAAGCAGCCTCCCCATGTTTAGTCCTGACTCTGGGCACCAACAGGAGTCCAGTCCCTGTGCTCCTCAGAGTCCCGGCAGGAGTCCAGTCCCTGTGCTCCTCAGAGTCCCGGCAGGAGTCCAGTCCCTGTGCTCCTCAGAGTCCCGGCAGGAGTCCAGTCCCTGTGCTCCTCAGAGTCCCGGCAGGAGTCCAGTCCCTGTGCTCCTCAGAGTCCCAGCAGGAGTCCAGTCCCTGTGCTCCTCAGAGTCCCGGCAGGAGTCCAGTCCCTGTGCTCCTCAGAGTCCCGGCAGGAGTCCAGTCCCTGTGCTCCTCAGAGTCCCGGCAGGAGTCCAGTCCCTGTGCTCCTCAGAGTCCGGGCTGGTTCATATGGGACTAACATGTCACTAATATATTTTGGTGCGAGGCCATGGAGAGACTTGTAACAAGCAGAGCTGTTTTAAAGTCTATTCTCTGAGCGAGGAAGCAGAGACCTGAGACCAGGACTAATGTTATCGTACTTTCTGGTTCTAGTCAGGACCTGAGCTGTTTTTTAAGTGGTAAAAAGCTGCTGATGTTACTGATTTGATGTGGCTGTTAAGATTCAAGTCTGAGTATAGTATTACCGTTTCTGAGGACTACATGCAAGTCAATTAGAGGCAGAGAGAGTTGGAGCCAAACTTCACCATGAGCGCTTCCTTATTGGGCTTCATTGAGCTAGCAGGTTAGCATTGTCCACTTGGATGCAGTGTCTGGTCTGACCTGAGTTTGGTCCTCAGCACCGCTTCCTGTCCCGTGAGCGCCCGATCACTGTGGTCATGGACCTCATCGCTCGCACCAAAGACGCTGTGCGAGAACTCGACAACCTGCAGTACCGAAAGATGAAGAAGATTCTCTTCCAGGAGACGCAGGCCAACGGACCAGGCCCAGAGGGAGGAGACGAGGAGGAGGTAAGAGCCTACAGACCAGGGCCAGAGGGAGGAGAGGAGGAGTCAAGAGCCTAATGTATACATGAGACCAGGGCCAGAGGGAGGAGAGGAGGAGGAGTCAAGAGCCTAATGTATACATGAGACCAGGGCCAGAGGGAGGAGAGGAGGAGGAGTCAAGAGCCTAATGTATACATGAGACTAGGGCCAGAGGGAGGAGAGGAGGAGGAGGAGTCAAGAGCCTAATGTATACATGAGACCAGGGCCAGAGGGAGGAGAGGAGGAGGAGTCAAGAGCCTAATGTATACATGAGACCAGGGCCAGAGGGAGGAGGAGAGGAGGAGTCAAGAGCCTAATGTATACATGAGACCAGGGCCAGAGGGAGGAGAGGAGGAGGAGTCAAGAGCCTAATGTATACATGAGACCAGGGCCAGAGGGAGGAGAGGAGGAGGAGTCAAGAGCCTAATGTATACATGAGACCAGGGCCAGAGGGAGGAGAGGAGGAGGAGGAGTCAAGAGCCTAATGTATACATGAGACCAGGACCAGAGGGAGGAGAGGAGTCAAGAGCCTAATGTATACATGAGACCAGGGCCAGAGGGAGGAGAGGAGGAGGAGTCAAGAGCCTAATGTATACATGAGACCAGGGCCAGAGGGAGGAGAGGAGGAGGAGTCAAGAGCCTAATGTATACATGAGACCAGGGCCAGAGGGAGGAGAGGAGGAGGAGTCAAGAGCCTAATGTATACATGAGACCAGGGCCAGAGTGAGGGAGGAGAGGAGGAGGAGTCAAGAGCCTAATGTATACATGAGACCAGGGCCAGAGGGAGGAGAGGAGGAGGAGTCAAGAGCCTAATGTATACATGAGACCAGGGCCAGAGGGAGGAGAGGAGGAGGAGTCAAGAGCCTAATGTATACATGAGACCAGGGCCAGAGGGAGGAGAGGAGTTATAGTGTTGTGATGTGCATTTCTCCTCGTGTCCAGAAGGAGGCGCTGTTATAGTGTTATGATGTGCATTTCTCCTCGTGTCCAGAAGGAGGCGCTGTTATAGTGTTATGATGTGCATTTCTCCTCGTGTCCAGAAGGAGGCGCTGTTATAGTGTTGTGATGTGCATTTCTCCTCGTGTCCAGAAGGAGGCGCTGTTAGTGTTATGATGTGCATTTCTCCTCGTGTCCAGAAGGAGGCGCTGTTATAGTGTTGTGATGTGCATTTCTCCTCGTGTCCAGAAGGAGGCGCTGTTATAGTGTTGTGATGTGCATTTCTCCTCGTGTCCAGAAGGAGGCGCTGTTAGTGTTGTGATGTGCATTTCTCCTCGTGTCCAGAAGGAGGCGCTGTTAGTGTTATGATGTGCATTTCTCCTCGTGTCCAGAAGGAGGCGCTGTTATAGTGTTGTGATGTGCATTTCTCCTCGTGTCCAGAAGGAGGCGCTGTTATAGTGTTGTGATGTGCATTTCTCCTCGTGTCCAGAAGGAGGCGCTGTTATAGTGTTATGATGTGCATTTCTCCTCGTGTCCAGAAGGAGGCGCTGTTATAGTGTTGTGATGTGCATTTCTCCTCGTGTCCAGAAGGAGGCGCTGTTATAGTGTTGTGATGTGCATTTCTCCTCGTGTCCAGGAGGAGGCGCGCTGTTATAGTGTTGTGATGTGCATTTCTCCTCGTGTCCAGAAGGAGGCGCTGTTAGTGTTATGATGTGCATTTCTCCTCATGTCCAGGAGGAGGCGCTGTTATAGTGTTATGATGTGCATTTCTCCTCATGTCCAGGAGGAGGCGCTGTTATAGTGTTGTGATGTGCATTTCTCCTCATGTCCAGAAGGAGGCGCTGTTATAGTGTTATGATGTGCATTTCTCCTCATGTCCAGGAGGAGGCGCTGTTATAGTGTTGTGATGTGCATTTCTCCTCATGTCCAGAAGGAGGCGCTGTTATAGTGTTGTGATGTGCATTTCTCCTCATGTCCAGAAGGAGGCGCTGTTATAGTGTTGTGATGTGCATTTCTCCTCGTGTCCAGAAGGAGGCGCTGTTATAGTGTTATGATGTGCTTTTCTCCTCATGTCCAGGAGGAGGCGCTGTTAGTGTTGTGATGTGCATTTCTCCTCGTGTCCAGGAGGAGGCGCTGTTATAGTGTTGTGATGTGCATTTCTCCTCATGTCCAGGAGGAGGCGCTGTTATAGTGTTGTGATGTGCATTTCTCCTCATGTCCAGGAGGAGGCGCAGTACCTCATGCGTTCTGGGACCGTGAACTCCATGGAGAGCTCCCAGTCTGTTCCCAGTATGTCGATCTCGGCCAGTTCACAAAGCAGCTCCGTAAACTCCCTCGCCGACGCTTCGGACGACAGCGAGGGAGAGATGGCCATGATGCAGGAGGGCGAGCACACGGTGGCCTCCAACAGCTCCATCATCCACCGGCCCACGGTGAGGCTAGCACTTTACACAGGCATACGGTGAGGCTAGCACTTTACACAGGCATACGGTGAGGCTAGCACTTTACACAGGCCCACGGTGAGGCTAGCACTTTACACAGGCATACGGTGAGGCTAGCACTTTACACAGGCATACGGTGAGGCTAGCACTTTACACAGGCATACGGTGAGGCTAGCACTTTACACAGGCCCACGGTGAGGCTAGCACTTTACACAGGCATACGGTGAGGCTAGCACTTTACACAGGCATACGGTGAGGCTAGCACTTTACACAGGCATACGGTGAGGCTAGCACTTTACACAGGCATACGGTGAGGCTAGCACTTTACACAGGCATACGGTGAGGCTAGCACTTTACACAGGCATACGGTGAGGCTAGCACTTTACACAGGCATACGGTGAGGCTAGCACTTTACACAGGCCCACGGTGAGGCTAGCACTTTACACAGGCATACGGTGAGGCTAGCACTTTACACAGGCATACGGTGAGGCTAGCACTTTACACAGGCATACGGTGAGGCTAGCACTTTACACAGGCCCACGGTGAGGCTAGCACTTTACACAGGCATACGGTGAGGCTAGCACTTTACACAGGCATACGGTGAGGCTAGCACTTTACACAGGCATACGGTGAGGCTAGCACTTTACACAGGCATACGGTGAGGCTAGCACTTTACACAGGCATACGGTGAGGCTAGCACTTTACACAGGCATACGGTGAGGCTAGCACTTTACACAGGCATACGGTGAGGCTAGCACTTTACACAGGCATACGGTGAGGCTAGCACTTTACACAGGCATACGGTGAGGCTAGCACTTTACACAGGCATACGGTGAGGCTAGCACTTTACACAGGCATACGGTGAGGCTAGCACTTTACACAGGCCCACGGTGAGGCTAGCACTTTACACAGGCATACGGTGAGGCTAGCACTTTACACAGGCATACGGTGAGGCTAGCACTTTACACAGGCATACGGTGAGGCTAGCACTTTACACAGGCATACGGTGAGGCTAGCACTTTACACAGGCATACGGTGAGGCTAGCACTTTACACAGGCATACGGTGAGGCTAGCACTTTACACAGGCATACGGTGAGGCTAGCACTTTACACAGGCATACGGTGAGGCTAGCACTTTACACAGGCATACGGTGAGGCTAGCACTTAACACAGGCATACGGTGAGGCTAGCACTTTACACAGGCATACGGTGAGGCTAGCACTTTACACAGGCATACGGTGAGGCTAGCACTTTACACAGGCATACGGTGAGGCTAGCACTTTACACAGGCATACGGTGAGGCTAGCACTTTACACAGGCATACGGTGAGGCTAGCACTTTACACAGGCATACGGTGAGGCTAGCACTTTACACAGGCATACGGTGAGGCTAGCACTTTACACAGGCATACGGTGAGGCTAGCACTTTACACAGGGATACGGTGAGGCTAGCACTTTGCACAGGCATACGGTGAGGCTAGCATTTTGCACAGGCATACGGTGAGGCTAGCACTTTACACAGGCATACGGTGAGGCTAGCACTTTACACAGGCATACGGTGAGGCTAGCACTTTACACAGGCATACGGTGAGGCTAGCACTTTACACACAGGCCTACGGTGAGGCTAGCACTTTACACAGGCCCACGGTGAGGCTAGCACTTTACACAGGCATACGGTGAGGCTAGCACTTTACACAGGCATACGGTGAGGCTAGCACTTTACACAGGCCCACGGTGAGGCTAGCACTTTGCACAGGCCCACGGTGAGGCTAGCACTTTACACAGGCATACGGTGAGGCTAGCACTTTACACAGGCATACGGTGAGGCTAGCACTTTACACAGGCATACGGTGAGGCTAGCACTTTACACAGGCATACACTGAGGCCAGTGCTTTACACACAGGCCTACGGTGAGTCCAGCGCTTTACACACAGGCCTACGGTGAGTCCAGCACTTTATGCACAGACCTATGGTGATGCTAGCACTTTACACACATCCTCCAGCCCATGGTGAGTTTTGAACTTTACAAGCACCATCCACCTTGGCTCAGGTCCTTGTGTGACTCCAGGTCCTTGTGTGACTCCAGGTCCTTGTGTGACTCCAGGTCCTTGTGTGACTCCAGGTCCTTGTGTGACTCTAGGTCCTTGTGTGACTCCAGGTCCTTGTGTGACTCAGCAGAAGGGTGATGTCAGTTATACATGTTCTAAACTAGTTCTTTCCTCAGAACCAGGACAACATCTATGACGACCCATACCAGCCGGAGATGGAGCAGGTGCAGGCGCCCTCTGCTGGCCGCCGCAGGGCCTACTACAGGAACAGAGACCACTTTGCCACGATCCGCACGGCATCTCTGGTGAAGTTTCCACTTTACATTATACTTGTGATGTCACAGTCTGTACAGTACTGTAGTGTAGTTAAATGTCAGAAGCGGATGATCTCAAATAATTCTTGTAAATGTGTAAAAGGCATGACACAGATAGAGCCTCTGATGTTGAACGTTCCTCTGGCCCTTGTGCAGGTCACGCGTCAGATCCAGGAGCACGAGCAGGGCTCCGCTCTCCGGGAGCAGATGTCTGGGTACAAGCGCATGAGGAGGCAGCACCAGAAGCAGCTCATGGGTCTGGAGAACAAGCTGAAGGCCGAGATGGACGAGCACCAACTCAAACTGGACAAAGAACTGGAGGCTCAAAGGAACGGCTTCACCTCTGAGGCCGACAAGATCCTGAAGAAACACCAGGCCATTGTGGAGAAGGAGGTAACAGACCACGGTTAAGTGATTCTGTAGAGCTGCTTTAGTCCTGCTTTAGATCAGGAACGGGCAGAACTTTAGTTCGCCTGTGTTTAATGTGGATTGTTGATGCTTCAGACCAAAGCTGCTCTGACTGAAGAGAAGAAGTTCCAGCAGCACATTCTGGGCCAACAGAAGAAAGAGCTGACGAGTCTGTTGGAGAACCAGAAACGGCAATACAGGGCGAGGAAGGACCAGCTGAAAGAGGTAATGATGCTGCTACTGCTTATACTCCGTACAACAAGACTTGTGAAGAGCTTTGTATGACCTGGTCTGTGAAGTGCGCTATATAAATAACTTCCTCTGCTGCCACTGCTAGTTATGACTATGCTTTTCTCCTGCTGTTCCTTCTGAGCACCTGCTTTAGCCCGGGTGTGTGTTTAGCTCCATAAATGCTGAAAGGTGCATGTGACCTGTGTGCAGGAGCTGAACGAGAACCAGTCGACCCCGAAGAGGGAGAAGCAGGAGTGGCTGATGAGGCAGAAGGAATGTCTGCAGCAGGTCCAGGCCGAAGAGGAGAACAACCTCCTGAGGAGACAGCGCCAGTACTACGAACTACAGAGCAGGCAGTACAAGAGGAAGATGCTGCTGGCCAGACACAACCTGGAGCAGGACCTGATGAGAGAGGTGAGACTGGAGGGAGAGGGGGTGAAGGCAGGGGAGGTGAGACTGGGGGGAGAGGAGGTGAAGGCAGGGGAGAGGGCTACTGAGGTCTGATGAGGGGGGGGTGAGGTGAGACTGGAGGGAGAGGGGGTGAAGGCAGGGGAGGTGAGACTGGAGGGAGAGGGGGTGAAGGCAGGGGAGGTGAGACTGGAGGGAGAGGGGGTGAAGGCAGGGGAGGTGAGACTGGAGGGAGAGGGGGTGAAGGCAGGGGAGGTGAGACTGGGGGGAGAGGGGGTGAAGGCAGGGGAGGTGAGACTGGGGGGAGAGGGGGTGAAGGCAGGGGAGGTGAGACTGGGGGGAGAGGAGGTGAAGGCAGGGGAGGTGAGACTGGGGGGAGAGGAGGTGAAGGCAGGGGAGGTAGAGACTGGGGGGAGAGGGGGTGAAGGCAGGGGAGGTGAGACTGGGGGGAGAGGGGGTGAAGGCAGGGGAGGTGAGACTGGGGGGAGAGGAGGTGAAGGCAGGGGAGGTGAGACTGGGGGGAGAGGGGGTGAAGGCAGGGGAGGTGAGACTGGAGGGAGAGGGGGTGAAGGCAGGGGAGGTGAGACTGGGGGGAGAGGGGGTGAAGGCAGGGGAGGTGAGACTGGAGGGAGAGGGGGTGAAGGCAGGGGAGGTGAGACTGGGGGGAGAGGGGGTGAAGGCAGGGGAGGTGAGACTGGGGGGAGAGGGGGTGAAGGCAGGGGAGGTGAGACTGGAGGGAGAGGGGGTGAAGGCAGGGGAGGTGAGACTGGGGGGAGAGGGGGTGAAGGCAGGGGAGGTGAGACTGGAGGGAGAGGGGGTGAAGGCAGGGGAGGTGAGACTGGGGGGAGAGGGGGTGAAGGCAGGGGAGGTGAGACTGGGGGGAGAGGAGGTGAAGGCAGGGGAGGTGAGACTGGGGGGAGAGGAGGTGAAGGCAGGGGAGAGGGCTACTGAGGTCTGATGAGGGGGGGGAGAGGGCTGCTGAGATCTGATGAGGGGGGGGAGAGGGCTGCTGAGATCTGATGATGGGGGGGAGAGGGCTGCTGAGATCTGATGATGGGGGGTGAGGTGAGACTGGGGGGGAGTGGGTGAAGACAGGGGAGAGGGCTGCTGAGGTCTGATGATGGGGGGTGAGGTGAGACTGGGGGGAGAGTGGGTGAAGACAGGGGAGAGGGCTGCTGAGATCTGATGATGGGGGGTGAGGTGAGACTGGGGGGAGAGTGGGTGAAGACAGGGGAGAGGGCTGCTGAGGTCTGATGATGGGGGGGGGTGAGGTGAGACTGGGGGGAGAGTGGGTGAAGACAGGGGAGGGGGCTACTGAGATCTGATGAGGGGGGAGAGACCTCAATGCTTGTGTGTGCACCAGGAGCTGAACAAGAAGCAGACTCAGAAGGACCTGGAGAGGGCCATGCTCCTGCGGCACCATGAGTCCACACAGGAGCTGGAGTTCCGCCAGTTGGCCCTGGTGCAGAGGACCCGAGCCGAGCTGATCCGGACCCAGCACCAAACAGAACTCACCAACCAGATGGAGTACAACAAGAGGAGAGAGCAGGAGCTGAGGCAGAAGCACAGTGTGGAGGTCCGACAGCAACCCAAGAGCCTGAAGGTAACACTGCAACCAGTTTAAAGCTGGGGTATGTAACTTTAGTCTCATAAATGCATGTTTAAACCTGGAGGACGTAACTTTAGTCTTAATCCTTTAAGCGCCAAAGTCGCAATATTGCGACAAGCAACATTGCTCACTTAAACAGGCTGTATCTAAAAATGTGGTGCAGAATCTTGTTAATACTTTTCACCAGGGGTTAGTGGACATGTGTGGCTGTAAAATGAGCAGCATTTGTGGGTGTGGTTATATTGAAAGTTTTTGAGTAAATTGAGTTCGTAAAACACCTGCGGCGCAGCAGCGCGGAGGCGAAGCAGCAGCGGTAGAGCTGAGAGGAGCGAGAGCAGAGCAGAGGGAAAGAGTGTTTTTTATTTTACTCACGAGGTCTTCAGTACCAGAGAAGTACTTGGTCTGGTACTGGCTCACTCAGATTCAGAGGAGGAAGACACACAGGTGTCCAGTGAAGCAGACTCGGGCATTATTGGTGACGGGGAGACAGCGCTCCATAGTCCACAATCAGCCCCTGTACAGCGGCTGCTTGTCCTCCGTGTGGCCGCGGTAGAAGCATTCTGTGTACGCCAAGCAGGGGCCGGGGTCGAGGGGACAAGGGCATCATAACACCGGGCATGTGGGAGAAAGTAGCCGGGGTAGACATCCGCGGGGATCGCGGAAGACGCGGGAGAAGCCGCGGGAAAAAGCACATCGCTTATCGCGTTCACTGCCTTCACCAACAGCGATGATGAGGATGAAGGCAGTTCTTGAGAGAAAATAATCCACAAAAGTGGATCAGAAGTGTTGAAGAGCCTGTTGTATGTTGTTGAGACGATCTGACATGTTCTGTGCCCATTCATTTCATCTCTCTGTTTCTAAACGATAAATCCTGGAGCCTCATTTCCACTGAGAAAAATAGTAAGCCCACTACTTCTTTGAAAGGGAAATATTGAAACCAATCTCCAGATTTCATGACTGTAAACTATAAAGAGTGCTGTCTTGATCACTGAAGGTCTTTGAAAATAATACAATTCCATATGGCCGCGAACCAGTGCTAAAACATTATGTATAATCTGGATCAGGGAATTTATTTCTATCCCAAATTCATTTCATACTAAAGATATATTTCACATTTACTGTTTATAGTATTCCCTGATCTCAAATAACTCCCAAGCTACAGCTTTTTGAAGTCTTTATACAATAATTAACATGTTCCAAAATGGCCGCCACCTTGATGGCGTCAGAATATGCAAATTAGATGACGAATCAACTTCCATCCCAAAGTTTGGTTCAGACTGAAGATATTTCTAATTTACAGTATGCCTTTATCTCAAACCATTTTAAAGTTATAGCCTTTTGAAATCTTGAAATCAAAATTGTACATTTTCTTGAAAAAACTCTGGCGCCTAAAGGGTTAAGAGCTTTAACAAAAGTCTCAACAGGCATTAGGGCGGCACGGTGGCTGAGTGGATAGCACTCTCGCCTCTCAGCAAGAAGGTCCTGGGTTCGAATCCCGGTCGGACCAGGGCCTTTGAGTGGAGTTTGCGGGTACTCCGGTTTCCCCTACCACTAAAAATATGTCCAATAGTTCTAGCATGTGCCTCCTGTACTGGCCCCGCTCCCATCTCTGTGTGGAGTGAGAGACAAATGCCCAAAATTAACAATTGTAAACCGCTTTGAGACTCAGATCTGCAGTGAAAAGGCGGTATATAAATAAAAACTTACTTACTTACTATTGGAGAGTAGTTTAGTCTGTAATATATTGAATTTGTTTAAAAAAAATAAAATATCTATTTCCAAAATTAAAATGAGATTGTATCTCATTTTTTTTTTTAAACATTTAGCTGTGATCAGAAGTCGGGGGGTGGCGGGTCAGAACAGGACCTGTTCTTCCAGTATTTTCACTTCAACGTCACTGTCACTGACTGGCTCCTCTCTCCTGCCTCCTCTCTGCAGACAAAGGAGCTGCAGATCAAGCGTCAGTTCCAGGAGACATGTAAGATTCAGACCCGTCAGTACAAGGCTCTGAGGAACCACCTCCTGGAGAGCACTCCCAAAGTCGACCACAAGGCGGTGCTCAAGAGACTCAAAGAGGAGCAGACCCGCAAACTGGCCATACTCGCAGAGCAATACGACCACTCTGTCAACGACATGCTGTCCACTCAGGCGGTCAGCAAGGTGAGAGCTTTAGACCTGCTTTAGTCCTGCTTTAGTCCTGCTTTAGATCTGCTTTAGTCCCCCTTTAGTCCTGCCTTAGACCTGTCTAACAGCTGGACGTCTGCTGCTGTCTCTTCTTCAGCTACGTTTGGACGAGACTCAGGAGGCCGAGTACCAGGTCCTGAGGATGCAGCTGCAACAGGAACTGGAACTACTCAACGCTTATCAAAGCAAAATCAAGATTCACACGGACTCCCAGCATGAGAGGGAGGCCAAGGAGCTGGAGCAAAGAGTGTCCATAAGGCGAGCCCTGTTGGAACAGAGGGTACGAACATACACACAGACTGGTGCAGTCACACCACCCACAGAGAGTAGAAAGAGGAGAGGGAGTGCAGAGAGAGCAGACCAGAGAGATCATGTTTCTATGGTTCCATGTTTTCTTCAGATAGAGGAGGAGATGCTGTCCCTCCAGAACGAGCGCTCTGAGAGGATCCGGTCCCTGCTGGAGCGTCAGGCCCATGAGATCGAGGCCTTTGACTCGGAGAGCATGCGTCTGGGCTTCAGTAACATGGCATTAGGAGGGATCCCAGCAGAGGCCTACACTCAAGGCTACACGTCCTCTGGCCCTGCCCCCTCAGGCTCCGCCCCATGGCCCCGCCCCGTCCCCCGCTCTGGCTCGCACTGGTCCCACAGCGTGTCATCGTCCTCCACCCCGTCCTGGAGGAGCCACGGGTTCAGCCGGGCCGAGAGCGTGGGCTTTGGGCACGAGCAGAGGTGAGAGGTTATACAGACATCTATATAACACACATACAGAGAGAGGTCGTACAGACATCTATATAACACACATACAGAGAGAGGTCGTACAGACATCTATATAACACACATACAGAGAGGTCATACAGACATCTATATAACACACATACAGAGAGAGGTCATACAGACATCTATATAACACACATACAGAGAGAGGTCGTACAGACAACTATATAACACACATACAGAGAGGTCGTACAGACATCTATATAACACACATACAGAGAGAGGTCGTACAGACCTCTATATAACACACATACAGAGAGAGGTCGTACAGACAACTATATAACACACATACAGAGAGGTCGTACAGACATCTATATAACACACATACAGAGAGAGGTCGTACAGACATCTATATAACACACATACAGAGAGAGGTCGTACAGACATCTATATAACACACATACAGAGAGGTCATACAGACATCTATATAACACACATACCAGAGAGGTCATACAGACATCTATATAACACACATACAGAGAGAGGTCGTACAGACATCTATATAACACACATACAGAGAGAGGTCGTACAGACATCTATATAACACACATACAGAGAGAGGTCGTACAGATATCTATATAACACACATACAGAGAGAGGTCGTACAGACATCTATATAACACACATACAGAGAGAGGTCATACAGACATCTATATAACACACATACAGAGAGGTCATACAGACATCTATATAACACACATACAGAGAGAGGTCGTACAGACATCTATATAACACACATACAGAGAGGTCGTACAGACATCTATATAACACACATACAGAGAGGTCGTACAGACATCTATATAACACACATACAGAGAGAGGTCGTACAGACATCTATATAACACACATACAGAGAGAGGTCGTACAGACATCTATATAACACACATACAGAGAGAGGTCGTACAGATATCTATATAACACACATACAGAGAGAGGTCGTACAGACATCTATATAACACACATACAGAGAGAGGTCATACAGACATCTATATAACACACATACAGAGAGGTCATACAGACATCTATATAACACACATACAGAGAGAGGTCGTACAGACATCTATATAACACACATACAGAGAGGTCGTACAGACATCTATATAACACACATACAGAGAGGTCGTACAGACATCTATATAACACACATACAGAGAGAGGTCATACAGACATCTATATAACACACATACAGAGAGAGGTCATACAGACATCTATATAACACACATACAGAGAGAGGTCATACAGACATCTATATAACACACATACAGAGAGAGGTCGTACAGACAACTATATAACACACATGCAGAGAGGTCATACAGACATCTATATAACACACATACAGAGAGGTCATACAGACATCTATATAACACACATACAGAGAGAGGTCGTACAGACATCTATTTACAATGCCTTGCGAAAGTATTCGGCCCCCTTGAACCTTTCAACATTTCAGGCTTCAAACATAAAGATATAAAATTTAATTTTTTTGTCATGAATCAACAAGTGGGACACAATCGTGAAGTGGAACGAAATTTATTGGACAAATTTAACTTTTTTAACAAATAAAAAACTGAAAAGTGGGGCGTGCAATATTATTGGGCCCCTTTACTTTCAGTGCAGCAAACTCAGTCCAGAAGTTCAGTGAGGATCTTTGAATGATCCAATGTTGTCCTAAATGACTGATGATGATAAATAGAATGTACCTGTGTGTAATCAAGTCTCCGTATAAATGCACCTGCTCTTTGATAGTCTCAGGGTTCTGTTTAAAGCACAGAGAGAACCATGAAGACAAAGGAACACACCAGGCAGATCCGAGATACTGTTGTGGAGAAGTTTAAAGCCGGATTTGGATACAAAAAGATTTCCCAAGCTTTAAACATCTCAAGGAGCACTGTGCAAGCAATTATATTGAAATGGAAGGAGTATCAGACCACTGCAAATCTACCAAGACCCGGCCGTCCCTCCAAACTTTCATCTCAAACAAGGAGAAGACTGATCAGAGATGCAGCCAAGAGGCCCATGATCACTCTGGATGAACTGCAGATAACTACAGCTGAGGTGGGAGAGTCTGACCATAGGACAACAATCAGCGCCACCTTTTGCTGCAATTACAGCTGCAAGTCGCTTGGGGTATGTCTCTATCATTTTTGCACATCAAGAGACTGGAATTCTTGCCCATTCTTCCTTGCAAAACAGCTGGAGCTCAGTGAGGTTGGATGGAGAGCGTTTGTGAACAGCAGTCTTCAGCTCTTTCCACAGATTCTCGATTGGATTCAGGTCTGGACTTTGACTTGGCCATTCTAACACCTGGATACGTCTATTTGTGAACCATTCCATTGTAGATTTGGCTTTATGTTTTGGATCATTGTCCTGTTGGAAGATAAATCTCCGTCCCAGTCTCAGGTCTTTTGCAGACTCCAACAGGTTTTCTTCCAGAATAGTCCTGTATTTGGCTCCATCCATCTTCCCATCAATTTTAGCCATCTTCCCTGTCCCTGCTGAAGAAAAGCAGGCCCAAAGCATGATGCTGCCACCACCATGTTTGACAGTGGGGATGGTGTGTTCAGGGTGATGAGCTGTGTTGCTTTTACGACAAACATATCGTTTTGCATTGTGGCCAAAAAGTTCGATTTTGGTTTCATCTGACCAGAGCACCTTCTTCCACATGTTTGGTGTGTCTCCCAGGTGGCTTGTGGCAAACTTTAAACAAGACTTTTTATGGATATCTTTGAGAAATGGCTTTCTTCTTTCCACTCTTCCATAAAGGCCAGATTTGTGCAGTGCACGACTGATTGTTGTCCTATGGACAGACTCTCCCACCTCAGCTGTAGTTATCTGCAGTTCATCCAGAGTGATCATGGGCCTCTTGGCTGCATCTCTGATCAGTCTTCTCCTTGTTTGAGATGAAAGTTTGGAGGGACGGCCGGGTTCCCATAAAATAACCCCAACCCAGCCTTAA